TTTAGACTTGTGCTATTCTAGTTTTAAATGTATAAATCAATTGACATATAGAAATTATAAATATATGTATAATGAAATAAGAGAGAAAATTAAGAAATGGGATGAATTAAAATGATCATTATTAGGGAGAATTGCAGTGGTTAAAGCTCATATTCTGCCAAAATTTTTATTTTTGTTCCAAAACCTACTATTGCAACTGGAACTGAATAAGTTAAAATTGTTGCAAAAAAAATTATCTCAGGAAATTTCTGAGAAATTTATCTCAGAAATTATAAAAAAAAGGGTTTAATCTCAATAAAATATTGTAAAAGATGAGAATACCAGATATATGGGAACAAAACCAGTATGGGAAATGAATTTAAATATTAAAATACCAGAAAAGGTGTTAACAGGAATATGGAACACTCAATTATACAAATCAGTATTTGCAATATAAGGAAATGGCCTTGAAGACAATTCATAGATGGCATTTATTTCTGACGAAACTTCATAAAATAAACAAGGAAATATCAAATATGTGTTGGCGAAATTGTGGGATAAAAGGGTTGCTTGAACACATATGGATATCTTGTCCAAAAGTGAAATTATTCTGGAAAGTGGTAATTAAATGCTTAGAAAAAGTTATCACATCAGAAATAATTTTTAATGAAATCTCCTATTATTCTCCCTCTTTATGAATGGGAATGAGTATTTAAATGATAAAGAGCTGGTGGAGATGCTCATGGGAGAAGATTAGAAATTGTGTGTAACTGGAAAGATGTCAAGGGCTGTCCTTTCAAAAATATTTGGGAAGAATATGGGAAATTGCACTGATGGAGAAATTGACTACACAGGCTAGAATTCTGAGAGGTGAAATAAAAAGAGATAATTTCATTAAAATTCGGCACCCTTTACTGATCTCAAATATGGAATCAAATAGTGAGATAAATATGTTGGGTAACCCACTAGTATCTGTTTATCAGTTTGCGGAATAGATTTGGAATGGATGTGTAAATAGAGCAATTGTTATAAAGAAGATGTACATGCTGTAAGATGATTATATGCTTGTGTTACTGTTAAGGATTGTCAAAAAAAAAAAATGCAGATGGGGCAATGGGAACTGGAGTTCAGGGATCTCCGGGTGGACAATGGGTCTAATAGTCTAATATGGGGAAACTGGAACCCAGGACTGAGCAGTTCTGTGCAAATTGAGTGCAAAAAATATGCCCTCCTTTCTTCTGACAGTGCAGGAGACAGAACATTATCTGGCCAGGGCGACTTCTTATATATCTTTTATATTTTTTTATTTATTTTATATTGTTAATTTTAATTTTATATTGTTATTTTTGTATTTTATTGTATTTTATTGTGCTGTAAGCCGCCCGAGGCTTCGGCAAGGGGCGGCATAGAAATGTTCTAATAAATACATACATACATACATACATACATACATACATTCAAGAGAGTTCACACATGCGTCATGGGTGGAGGGCTCCAGGCTTTGGAAAGCTACCCTAAAGCCACAGTAAGGAGATGAAAATCTTAGGGGAGCTGTTACACCTGGAAAGTCTAGGAGCAAACGTGTGCACCATCTGAAAGAATCAAGGAATATTGTCAGGCCTGGCAAGTTGGTGGCAGGTGTCTGTGGCTGGAGCACCAAGACCAGGGTGACAGAGGTGGAGATTTCGTCATTGCTGTGACAAGGCAAAGGCAACGTCAGCAACAAGCAAGGGGCAGATGCCATCAGGGCAAAGCAAAGGCAGCCAAGGAGAGAAGTTCAGATGCTCAGTAGAGTCTGGCAACTCTGCAAGCAAAGGCAGAACCAGCAGCAGGAAAGTGCTGATACCCAGCAAGGCATAGCAAGCCCGAAGGCAAAGGCAGAGTCAGGAACAAGCAAAGGCCAGATACTGACAAGATGTGACAGATTCAGAAGCAAACATCTGATACAAGCAAGGCAAGACAGAATCAGTGGCACAGGTGAGGTCAGGAGTAGGCAAGGATCAGATACCTGGCAAGGTGTGGTAGAACTAGAGGCAAGGCGGAAGTGAGCTGATATCGAGACAATACTGGAAGCAGGAGCAGGAACATGGATGCAGTCACGGCAAAGGCTAATGTTGCTGTGGCGAGGCTTAGCAGTGTCGAGAAGCCTTCAGGGCTCCCAGCTACACTGCGTGATTGCACAAGCTCAGATTCTTGCAGGAATGCTACAGACCTGATCTACATCCTGGAGGCCCTTGCAGGGCAAGCCATGCTGCTCTTCACAATCTTCACACCAGGGGGTACTGTGTCCAAGTTTGATATTTTGACGTTAGAATGTAAGAATAGAATGTAAGAATTGAAAGTGTTTTATTTCCTGTAAAGGGAACTTACATGTAACCCAAATTCAGAATTCTGGTGAATTGTTTAAAATGTCAAAGTTTGAAATGTCAAGATCCAAGGAATGTTTCAAATACTATTTTTTGCTGATAGGATATTGACAGAAACCTGTGCATATTTAGACAGAAATGCCTAAGCATGGATAAGACTGCACCTTAAGGTATTTTTTTCTTCTAAAGTCTTTGAGCAGCATGCAATATTGCAAATGCTGTTTGATTTTTAAAAAGTCAACAAACAGTTAAATGGTTCGGTTTTCTGTACAATTCTCACTAGGGTTTAGATCTTTTTCACAAGCTCAGCCTGTTTCATCTCATACATCTTTCTTTTTACAGCTGGAAGCCAATTGCCCATTACATTGATTGCCAGTTTGAACAGTATTTTCGGGATGAGAGTGGCTTGGACCGCAAGAACATTCAGGATGGACGGGTCCATTGCTGCCTTTATGTCCTGTCTCCTTTTGGACATGGGTATGATGTACAGATTTTTAAGATTTGGACAGTCTTGCTTAAATGGGCACCCTCCAGATACATTGGACTACATGGCTGGGGATGATGAGGATTGTGGTTCATCCCATCTGGAGGACAACTGGGTTGGGGAAGGTTGGCTCGGGATGCAGAGGCAAAGTAAGTTAAAGCCATGGCTTCTTACCTCTTGAAGCAGTGACAGTTCTCCCAATAACAGACACCAGGAGCTTCTTTGGAGTTCAGATCCAGCATTTATTCCCTCCATCTACTAAGAATGCCAGAGAAATCCACAGTGGCTTCAAAATGAGATCCAATTTCCCAAACCTAAACCCAACCTACAGATTCAGAAAGTTGGTGTTGTTGTTTTCAGAGTCATATGGATTCCACAGATGTGCAGACTGGTTTGTCATATTTGTGGAGTAGAACTAGCAAATTTGTGCAAGTAGAACAAAACTGGTTCAAAAACTGATTCCATCAATAAATGAATGGAACAAAAATGCACAGTTTTTTAAAAAATCATGCATCCCAACCACCCAGTTCAATGCTTGGATGGGTGGCATAATAAAGTGCCACTGAGCAAATGCAAAGGTACCTCACCCTGAATTATTCAACATGTCTACCTGTATCTGGGGCCCCAAGCAGGGCCGAGAGGCAGGATTGCCTGTGTGCTATGAAAAGTCACACTTCCTTTGCCTCCTTTCCTCCTCCTCCTCCTCCTCCTCCTCCTCCTCCTCCTCCTGCTGTCACAGGCTTCGGCCCCTAGACATTGCATTCCTCCGAGCCATACATGACAAAGTCAACATTGTGCCAGTGATTGGAAAAGCAGACTGCTTGACTCCAACAGAGGTGCAACACAAGAAGGAGAAGGTAAGATTTCTGACCGGGGGGGGGGGGGGTGCACACCGCAAAAATCCCTTCTGTTTGAAGTGTATACCCCAGTGGAAATCCTATAAAAATACCTGGCTCTCTTGACACCAGGATTCTCATTGCCTACTGCCATGCCTTGCACAGCTTCATTTTCTGTGTCTTTAAGATCAGTAGGACCGTTTGGGATTTTCAGGAAATGTAGACATGCTCACAAAATGGTTCCCATAGTGTGGACTTGTTGATTCATATACTGGGTGACTTCTGAGAAGTGAATGTTCTCAGGCAAACTGGTGAAACTAAAATAAACCTAACCATAAACACCTCCTCTGTAAAGCAGAAGAGATCTAAGTGTCAAAGCACAAAACCACCACTGAAATTAAGTACACATGGTGCAGGAAGTTGGCACTTTGATTTGCAGCATGATAGGCTCTGAGTTAAAATAATCACAATTTTTAAAAAGAGGAGTAGGAACCCTGGTTGGTTCCAAGGGCACCATTCTGGGGACTCCCGTTTCAGTTCCTTTCACTTCAATTGGACACACAGATCCGGCAGGAATTAGAAGAAAATCAGATCAACATATACGAGTTCCCTGACTGTGACTCAGACGAAGATGAAGAGTTCAAAGCTCAGGTTGTTGACATGAAGGTGAGAACCAATCAGCAAATGAGTCTACTGTGGGGAAGAGAAGTATTGGGTGACAAAGATGGAGAATTAAGATGTGAATCCAATTGATGTCCCCAACAGCACAGCATTCCTTTTGCTGTCATTGGATCTAGTCACGTGGTCAGGGAGTTGAAGGACAAAGTGTTCCGGGGAAGGCAATACCCCTGGGGAACAGTGGAAGGTAAGTTATGCTAAAAGGGGAAAAGCTCACCAGAGGGCACTGTACCCGCAATTGTTACTGACAACTTCCTGTTCGGTTGCCCCCTAGTGGAAAACTCTTCTCATTGCGACTTCCTCAAACTACGGAGCATGTTGATTCAAACCCATATGCAGGACTTAAAGGATGTCACCCACGAGGTTCATTATGAGAACTACCGTGCACAGTGCATTCAGAGCCTGACCAGAACTGGGGTGCGGGACCGCAGCAGTCGCGCGTAAGCAAATTCTGGATTCTCTTGTGTTTCCTCCAGTGAGAGGGATGGCAACGGATACCGATGATCAGCTAGGGAATATATACAGAGACAGAAGGCGATTTTGGTGAAGAATTTAAAAACAGAAAATGTATGATCAGGACACTTAACTGCATTCTCCACTCTGATATTTACAAAATAGGATTGTCCATTTTCAGTCTATAGCAGCGAATAATCAGTCAATGACCAGTTCTTTCAGTTAATTTCCAAAGAAAATTATAGCCCTCACCATCCTAGTGTCCTCCAGGGGTCACCTCTCAGGATCTTGACCACTAGCTATGCTGTTTTTGGGCTGATGGATGTTGAAGTCGGAAACATTTGGAGGATATTAAGTTGGGGAAGGCTGTTATACAGAGTGCAAGTAAGATTTGGGGAAGAGAGGAGGGGTATAAGTGTGCATGTATGTATATTGAACAAATATATACATCTACTTGAGAATAAGTTTCATTGACTGCAGAGTGGCTTTTTTCAACACAGGATTGTGCTGTGTGATGTAGTCACTCTCCTCTGATTAACTTAATTGAGTTGTGGGAACATTTTCAGATTCAAGGGGATCGGAACAAAAAGAGAGCTTTCAAAAGCAAAGCCTGCAATCCAAAATAGTAGTACCCGTATTTTGCACTTGCCCAGTACTTTTGAGTGTTCAAGATGCTCTATCCATGTGCATTATCTTGTTGTGACCTCTAGAACAGGGGTGGGCCATGCCTGGCTCTTCAAATTGTTTTGGCCAACAACACCAAATTGCAGAACATTTGGAGGCCCATAAATTGCCCACACCTGCTGTAGGATAAGTCAGTATTATCCCCAATCTGTTGATGGGTGACTGAATCTGAGAGGATTTTGCCTAAGGCCACAATCCTGTGCATGTTTTTAGACAGGAAAAAAACCCCTTAGCGTGTTGGCTGAGGAATGCTGGGAGTTAAAGGGTTCGGTCGTTGCTGCGTAAACACTCATAGGACTGTGCCATTAGGGAGCTCATGGCAGAAGAGAGGTTTGCAGCAGGGACTTGCTTTTTGCGGCCCAGTCACCAGGCTGCTGTTTCATTGCTGTGAAGTGCACGTTAAGGACACCATCAGGGTCCTGCAGTGAAGCCTACAGGGTGCCCGCATTCAGACATGTCTGTGTCATTCCCTAGGAAACTGTCACGCCAGAGTGCCACCGAGCTGCCCCTCCTGCCTCTGGCCGAAACCGAGAAACTGATTCGTGAGAAAGATGAGGAGGTGAGATGCAGTCTGGAGCGGGGCTGTTGTACATTTGAGGCCTTGCAGTTTCTTTTTAGTGATTGTTGCCACCTAATATTTAACATGGGAGGGTGGTGGTTAAATACTTGTAGGGACCAGATTTAACCCACCTGGGCTTTTATCTGGCCTTCTAGGCATTCATTATGTCGATATCCTACCCTTTGTCCTACAGGGCATCCAAGGCAGCTTAACTAGCCCTTCTCTCCATTTTATTCTCACAACAATCCTGTGAGGTAGGTTAGGATGAGAGTCAGTGACTGGCTCAGACCAACACACTCTCTGCTATGCTGCATTCTTGCAGCTTTCCATTTGATGGTTTCTTAGCTTTTGGGCAATTTCCCACCCCATCCCTCATTCTAACAGGCTGAAATGTTTCTGAGGGCTGTTGCTGGCAGAAAAGCTTTACACTAAAACATGCTGGTATTTTCTTATGTATGTGGCTTTCCACCATTGGAATATGGCCCCCGATAGCTTTGAATTTGGTCCTCAGTGTGAAAAAAATCCACCCCAATTTTAACAGCTCACAGGGGCCAGGAATGCTGCATGGACTGGCAGAGGAGGGATGGGTTGCTCCATCCTTGCTCTGCCAGCCTGCTGGGTTTGTACCAGCTGCAGAGGAGAATGAGTCCCTTTCTCTACAAAAAGCAGAGAACAAAGCCTGCTAGCAGAGCAAAGCCAGATTACCCTGTTGGCTTAGTAAAGACCTTTTTTAAAATACTCTGCAGAGGCTAATAGCCTGCATCTCCACACTGGCTGTGAAGGAGGGGTGACAGACTCCGAACTTCTCTGCAGGCTGATGAAATCTGTGGGCCTCTAGACAAGACTCGAGAATCGACTCCGTTCAAGAGGGCTCCCTTTACATGCATATTAACACCCCCCATGCCCCACCTCCCCCAGCAACCACCTTTCAGCAGCCCTGGGCCAATGGGCGTGTGTTGAGGAGCTGCAGCTCAGTGCATGCAGATCTCAGGTTCAATTCTGAGCATCCCTGGGCAGGGCTGGGAAAGACTCCTGCTGAGACCCTGGGCAACCACTGCCCATCAGTACCATCAGTACCAATGGCCCAACTCAGTATAAGGCAGCATCCCAGGTTTCTGTGATCTGTGGCTGGCTCTACCAAGGGTGAATGGAATCTCAGCCTCTCTGTCCTTTGTCCAGCTCCGCCGGATGCAGGAGATGCTCCAGAGGATGCAGGCACAGATGCTGCAGAGTCAGGGGGAGCAGTGTGACAGCCTCTGAAATGCTGTGGAGCCCTCCTCCCATGCTGCCACGGGACTCCGGAGAGGAGACAGATGGAGACTCCAAGCTACTTCCACATGACGAGGGTCCGAAGAGGACCACTAGCTTTACAAACAGCAGTGTCTGTGCTAATGTGTACACTGCACCTTTGTGGAACAGGGAGGAAAAGACCCCTTAAGCACACCACTAGTTAACATACCTCTGTCTCCCCCATATAGCCTTGTGCTTTCTTCCACTTACTCTCAGTAGTGCTAACTCACAGGTATAGTAATGTTTCAAGAAAAATGCAAGAACTGTCAACAAAAATAAAATCTGTTTTATGAGAACTAGCTTCCAGATGGCTCCCAAATCATTTCTGTACATCTGCACTCCCACACTTCATCGATCACCAAATACTGTTCTCCAAATGTAGGGGCATCTATGCTGCTAGACCCACTGATCCATCTCCAGACAAACACTCCCATACAGGCCCCATCTGATGAGTTTATTCAGGAACACATTTATTTCTACTGACATCACGTCACATTCACATGTCCTCGCTGGTGTTGTGGTAAACAGCACCAAGCGATCCTATGGGTAGTTTTAATAACTAAGTGGCCAGGGATCATAGTAATTGTAGCCCAACATCCGGAGGCCACAGGTCCTTCTATAAAAAGAGGGTAGAGAAAGAACACGGGTGGGCAGTTTGTGCTCCCCGTGGCCAAGGCTGCTGGGACTTCTTGCTCAACAACCTCCGAATGACCACAAGTTGCCCAGCCCTGAAATAAGACAACACACCCACACCAGTGCCTTTGAATAAGAACTTGGGGGACTAAAAGGAAGCTAGGACTGTTTCAGACCCTTTGTCCAAATGAGGCCTTAAGTCACTACATCATTGGATTCTTGCAATTTGGGACTAGAGGTGGCCACTTCCACGAAGTCTCCTGCCTCCTGGATGAAAGAAAGAAGCCGTTGTTGCTTTTATTTCTGATACTCCGTGTATTTCTTGGATGATCCATAGACTTTCTCAGCTGGGTACTTGAGCCGGTTCTTCTCTATCTTGCGGCGAGCAGCAGACGGCAAGTCCACGTGGCATTTGTCTGCCAGGGCTACCAGGTAGATGAGGACATCGCTGAGCTCATCGGAGAGGGCATCACGCTCTGATACTGTCCACCCTGGGAGGCCCTCGGGGGCTTCTTCCCGCCATTGGCTAAAGGACAACAGACAAAAACACCAGGGCAAAGGCAAAAGCTTAGCCAGAGAGCAGTTAGAGAAAGACCAGAAGTTTCTTGCAAAATTCACCTGTGGGGTGGTCTGTATCCTATTCACAGGAATGCAGTAAGAAACTGAGTGCCTACAGACCTTCATTTTGTGTTTGCTTGGTAGAATTCAGCATTAACAACTGATGTAACAATAAAACTGGACTACGCGGTGCAGCAATCTAGCAAACCCCACAACCTAGAGGGACGCAAACAATCCTTTCAGTAAAGCAGCTAGCAAAATAGGGATAGCAATAGCTTTACTAAGGGCACAGCCCTCTGGCTGCTAGACGGAGTCTCAGAGGCCAAAGGACAATTCTGATCCCCAGCTCTGACCTCAGGAGTTTGCTCAGAAATCAGGGCTGGGAATTCTGAATGCAGAGTGCCCTTGCAAGCCAGCACCAAAAGAACCATGCCGGCTCTGGCTCTGAGGTCACGAGAGTAACCTCAGAGCCAGGCTTTTAGGGATGGGGAGGAATATGCTCCACCAACATAGGCGGGATCTGGCAGCACCTCGGCCTCATTCCTTTCACTCCAAAGTGCCGCACTTACCCGAAGTTGTGTTCAAAGAGTAACAGGAAGCATCACTGGATTGCACAGTAAGAGTAGGTCCAGGTGATTTAAAAAAAATTAAACTAGCATTTTAGTTTTGTTGCAGTTTAAGTGCTGCATTTTTAACTTCATGTGGGAGTGGTCTTTTCTGTATTTTACAATTTTATTCTGATTTCAAATATCCAGTCTCTTACCCAATTCATGGAAATTAGGAAATAGAGACACTTCTCCGTGAATTATTGTGCTCATGGGGGATGGGCCACTGCTGAAAGGGATGGTTTAATTTGGAGTCCTGCTCTGAGCAGGGAATTGGACCAGATGACCCTCTAACCCCTTCCAACTTAGTATTTCATGATTCTATGCTGCAGTCACACACCCTCCCTCCAGAATTTACCTTGGCATTACCCAAAGAAGATTTAAGTCTCTTCCTCCTCCCCTCATTCTCTCCCAAATACTGCCCTGGGACTCAATCTGCACTTCTGTCATAGGTACTCACAAGAGCTCTGCCAATTCTCCAACCTCCCCGACTAGGGCAAGGAGCAGATTTCGAGGTTGGTGATACTTTCCCCAGCCTCGCTCAGTTGCAAAGGCAGACTGGAGCCTTCGTCTGTGGGAAACAAAGAGACATGGCGATGAGAGCAGGCCCAGAAGATGGCAGGGGAAGGAGTAATGCCCTTGGGCCCCGATGGAGGAGAGGCAGGGAGGAATCAAAGAGGGAGGAAACTCGGGGTGAGCATGCACGACACGGTGAGTGTCTCACATGTCTTCCAAGGTGGGCGCTGTGCTGAACCGAAAAGCTGCGTCTGAATTCCCCACTCCGTTGCCCACCATGATCTCATCTGTCTCTCCATCTTCTGTCTCTGGTGATGAAGTAGAGGAGTGCGATGCCTGCCAAAGGAAGTCACAGTAACAGGAGCATTTACTTGGACCAATAAAGAAAGTTCTGCTGTTTCCAGATAAAAATGGGACACAGGCTGAAAGCAAAGAGCCGTGTTCAGTCAAGCGCAGCTCTCCTGCTCCCAGCAAGTGAGCGGAGGGCTTTGATGCCGGAACCACACTGCCACAGACCAGAATCCAATTTCATGCTGCTGCACCTGCTATTCGGCCCCTGATATGCCGATTGCCCATTCTGCATTGCCATCCTTTCGTCCCAAGACTGAGTTTCCCGACCCAATTCAAGATGCTGGTTTTGGCTGCTCAAGCGCTAAATGGTTCGGGACCAGCTTGTCTGAAGGGCTGCCCACACTTGTAAGAGCCTGCCAAGGCATCAAGGTCATCCTAGGCTTGTCTTGGAATACAAGACTGCTTTTACCAGCACCCTGAGACACATTTTCTTTCTGTTGTGGGTTTGCCTAATGAGGGCAGTGCATCCTCAAAGCTAGGTTAGAAGTCTTTAAAATAAAGTGTCAAACTCGGGAACTGAGCACCTGACATCAGGCATGGTTCTTCCCTTGCTGTGGAAACAGGCACATGGACACACACACACACACACACACACACACACACACACACACACACTTTGTCCTCAGTTGCACTCTTAGTTGCAGTCCGTGAAGGTCAGCAAATATTCTCTGCTTCCCCAGCATACTTTCTCCATCCGAAATACTGCACAGGCTTCCACAAAAGATAGGCCTGAAGAGCAAGCCTTCCACAAAGCCCCGAGGGCCAGGGGTGCTTCATGATGCAAGAGGGCATCCCTCCCTGGATTTAGCAGGAGCAGACTGTTAACAAATGTGATGGCTGGATCAGTGCAGGAACAGCACATTTCCACAGTTTCAGAACCTCCCAAAAAATATTTCTGTAAACACCAAAGCATACCTGCACACACATGCACACACCACTCATGTATACTATGTGCTACCTCTGTCCTCTTGAACAAGGTGGTTGCACTACCAGAACCGTTAGAAGCACAAACCCCCTCATTAGCAAGGGGCACAGAACTGCCCAGGGGCGCACGATTTCGATGTTCGGCGGTGGCTGCATGCTGTTGGAGGTCAGTGTAGTCAGCACGCATCTCGCATTCACAGAAGCGGCAGGCCGCCTTGCTCTCGTCTCCTGCCACGGGCTGAACCCAGCCTTTCAGAGCCTCCTCCTCCTCCCAGCCTCTGTAGAACGTTTCTTCATCTTTGCCCCTCTTTGACAAGGCCATGATGAACCACGTCTGCAAGAGAAGGCTCACTTAATAAAATGGTGGTTATCAGCCAGGTGGGATGATCACTTTAGGTGCAACTACCCTCTTTCACACAGCACAAAGTTTCCACTGCAGAAGCTGCTCTTACAGGGGGAAGTAGCTCAAAAGTCATGCCTATCTTGGTGGGTATGATGCTTATGTGGTTATTTGCCCTGTGACCACACTACGGGACCCTGTGAGAAATTGTGGCTTCTTCACTGTGGGTACACATGGAGGTGCTGATGCATCTCCCATCGAACAAATGGCACATGTGGTTGCCAAATTTATGTAGTGTGATATCCTTATTAAGCCAATTCAAAGATCACAAAAAATGTGCAAGCTTCTGGGCCCTCTAGATCTCTTCATCCAGCCCAATGTTACAAAAAGCACTTCAGCAGAAGCCGCAGGGGAGGCTGACTGGATATCACAGTCTTAAATTGATAATCTTTTTGTAACAATTTGTCTGGTAATGAGATATGGAGGTCCTGAAAACATGCACATTCTTTGGGGTATCTGATTTAGCTTAATAAAGGTATTATGGTATATGGCTTTTAGTTTGTTTTCTTTTCCCCAGCATGGCTGCTTTTCTTTGTATGACATGACTTTCACCGAAATTAATAACAATGGGCACAGTCCAGCTTAGCCCTAATCTTTGAAATACACAATCCCCTGAATTTCTGCTCTTGTTATCATCACCATAATTAGGACCTGACAGAATGCAGGGCTCTCCAGCACAGAGCATTTGCTTTTCATATAAAGGCTCCAATCATGATGCATAAAGGAATGTTTCTGAGCATCTGCAAAAAGGATGAAAGCAATGTCCTTTCTGACAGAGAGGTGTGATTCCCAGGTAGTCCACATGTTGGCTCTAATTTCTTTTCACTTTTTGTTCCACAAAAGCGTTCCTGATATCAGTCACCTCTGTCAGGAAGCTGCCTCATAGAAACAGCCAGGCCTGAGGCACTCAGAAGTTAAACACTCATTAAAATTTATCAGCTGTGAAGGCTCAAAACATCTTTGCCCAAACCTGGTGCCCTGCAGTTGTGTTGGTCTGCAACTCCCAGTGGCCCCCATCCAACATGACTGGCTGGAGGATACCAAGTTGGGCACTGTGGCTAAAAGGAACTTCCTACTTCTATCCTCAAGCCGGGCCTCCTCCTCCTCCTGACATGTTTCTTTGGGAAAGACTTTCCGGACCCACCTTCACCTCACTTGTTGGTGAGAGTTAATGGTCTTAAAGTTGCACCAGATGCCTTCTTGGGCAACGATCCAGGGGGCAGCTTCTACCTCATGCCTGAGTGCTGAATGGGGAAGGAAAAGCGGTCTTCCCTTACCTGGATTGTCCTTGATAACAAACCGGAGTCTACCGGGAAAGATCCCCCCAAGTGAACAAATCCGCTTCCAGTAAGCCACGTGGGACTTTTCCCGGGTTCAACACAGAGGCCGAGCCCTTGCCGATTTTCAGTCGCCAAGTGGATAGCGCACTATGACGTAATTACCCCTGGCCCAATCCAAGGCAGCCGGCAAAAGGTTCGCGAGCACAGTAACCAATCATAAGAGGAGTGGGGGAGAGAGGTGGGGCTGGAGTTTGCTTTCCCTCTGAGACAAGCGCGAAGAGTGTCCAATTAGGAAAGAGATCATCAAAGGAGGGCATCAGGTAACAGAGAAACTAACCAAGCCGGAGGAAATGGTCCATTGACATTCAAAGACTTTGCGAGCCCTGCCGGATGCAGGCGAAAAACATTCCAAACCATTCTTAAGCGGCCGTTCCACACTCCCAGTCCCTGCCAATCACAGACCAGATGCTGAACTTACCTAGCCAATAGGTGCGGACGTTGCTCTGCAATGGCCATAGAACAGCCGATTCATAAGCAATCGACTGTCCTTCCCTGGCAGCACCCAGTGGGGAAGGGCGTCGTAGCCAAGGCACTGGGCGACCCGGCAGAAAACTTGCGGGGGTTTTCGCTTTCTGGGGCTGTCTGCGTGTTGGAACTTTTGCAGGCCTGTAGTTTAGTTAGGGATTTGAGTTTTTTTCCCCTGTCGTCAGTAGGTGGCGGTAACGGAGCTTTTGGGCCTTCGCCAATAAACACCAGAAAAGGAGGAGGAACCCTGAGGGTTTGTCAGAGAGCGGTGACCGTGAAGCATGTAGCTGGAAGATAGCTGTGCTTAAACCAGTCCTTTGATTAAAAATGTGCTTTTGTTGGAGCCCGTTTCATTTGCTCAGCACGCTCACCACCACAATGCAGAATCTTTGGGAAGAGAGGATTCTTGTCCACCTTCTCCCTGGATCGCCTTTTGCCTTTATTCTGGCAGTAATGCAGCCAGGCTGGACTGGAGAGCCAAAGCCCAGGGGAACTCCAGGTGACACCCCCACCCGTGAGTGAAAGGCGACGGGGTTGGTGGCCCTGGGGCCAGCAGTGCTTTCTGCAACATGCTTTCTCTGCTTGTCCCCTCATGTATATTTATAGAGTGACTGGCTGGGCAAGTTTATGACTACAGGTGTTCATTTGATCACTTTCACTTAAAAATGATTTTTTCCTACAACAAAATGATACTCACCCTTCCCCCCTCCTTAACAAGAACAAGAAAGCCTATTTTATTGTAGAAGCAAATTCCATTGTATTCCTTATAGTAGTAATGATGCTGATTTGTGTGAATTCAAAATGCAAAAAGCATGTAATTGTACTTGCAAGCACACAAATATAAAAACAGTGCTGGTAAACAATTGTCTGTTGATCCTCCTAACATATGAATGCGGAAGCACCTGGTGTGGCAGTGGCTGTGGAACACAAGAGAAACGTTAATTGTTACTTCACAGTGGCCATCTAAAAGAGGGGCTCCCTGTCAGACCCCCAAGTTCAGCATCTAAAACTACATCGCTGACCACTGACTGGCCCCACTCCCGGGTTTTTAGTAACAAGAGCCAGCACCTTTTTCTAGTGAAAATTTTCCCTGCATGCTTAATATGTGCTTTACACAGCTATTCATAGCACAGCAACGGAGGAAGTAAAAATGGTTGGCAACTATAGTGGTAACCCAAATATTCATGCTCAAGTCTTTAACAGAAGTTGAAATTGGGTGAGACTTCTAGTTACAGAGTTGCTAAACATGATGTACCATCCGCCCAAGATAATCTCAGATAATCTGGCCTTAAGTTTGCTCAGTTGTCCGATTGTTTGTTGAACAAGCTACGTGCATTTTGAGCTCAGGTTGGAGGCCTTGGCTGCAGTCAACAACTCCTTAAGAGTACACCCAGCTGAACATAGTGAGACTTCCTTCTAAATATACATGCTTAGTGCTGCACTTACTAGGCCAGTACTGTCAAACCCAGCAGGCTCTGCTAGAGTCCATTCCTGCCCTTCTAACTCTGCACAAATAGCAGGTGTTTTTAAAATCATACATTGTCAGCCCTACTTAGGAAACATTTTGGGGCTGGTTGGCTACAGCACATTCCTATATGTTTCACTCAGGAAGTAAGTCCCTCTAAATTCCTTAGGACTAACTGTGAAGGAAGTGCACCTAGGATAGTAATTGTACACCCTGGTCCTGTAATCCTGTAAAGTTTGGAGGAAATGTAGATAGGGATGGAGCCTTAGCCAACAACAGCAGGATCTGGGAACTGTAGGAAAAAAAGAGATGAAATCTTTGTGCACAATACTGCTTTCCTAAACAAACGATTTGTTCCCCAATTTACTTGAGCAAAATAGCATGCAAATGCCTTGCTTTGCCTACACAATTATTTTACAGTCAGTTCAGATTAATAGAAATTGAACAGCTGCTCTGCCTGGCATGAGAGAGGCTGTTTGTACCAGAAAAAGCAAAGGTCCAAAGTGCCAAAATCATTCTAGCCCACATCCCACTGCTCACAGTGCCACCTCCCACCCCTCAGGAATTCAGGAATTTTTCTTGTGCAAACCAGTTGAGCAAGGCAAAAAAATTGAGGAGACACATTTCGGAGCTTGGATCTTCAGGTAAGAGTTTCTTTTAATTGCCTCTTTTAATTAGCTTCTTCTGGAATCTACAGAATTGTAGAGCTCATAGAATAAACACCAAGAAGCACAGAAAAACTGCCTTGTTTGATCTCCTTTTCAGCGAAGGGGAACTGCAGCTAGTTTGTTTCCTTGGGTTTCTGTTTTGGGGAAGTATCTCTTGTGCTTCTTTTTAAAGAATTCCTTTGATGCTTTTGGTTTTAAAGTCCAGAACAACCACACACCGCCAGCATTAGCTTGTCCTGGAAACAGAGGTGTCTCTTACAGCAACCCTCTTTTAGAATTTTATATGGAATCATGTAACTGACTGGGACTCACATACGGCACCTAACCCTATTGCGGATTATTGAACTGTAAGAATTAAAATACCATGGTATGTTCCCTGTTTCCTCCAGCAGAGAGAAATAGTGGCTCCAGTTAGTGTTTTCTTTTGGGTGAAAGTACAATAGATCTTAAGACTCTTTTTTTTAAAACTACAATCAGGGTTGTTTCCTAGAGGCAGAAGTAACACAATGGAGGACTTCCCTACCCCAACTTTTCACTGCATAAACAGTACACCATTTCTGCTGTGTGACTCCTTTAAAGGATATAGATATAGATATAGATATATAGATATATAAATAATGAACTCATTCTTCAAATGAGTACCAGTCATGCACAAGGAGGTGATATTAGGCCAAGGGGAACACCAAGGTTTGTGTAAATGCAAACACCTTTAGAAAAAGATTGCAGGAGGAAGAGGCCTCAAGCAATCCCATGAGAAGTTAATATGGTTAGTGGCCGCAATGCCAATGTGGGGAGGGAGAGGGAGAGAGAAAGGAATGGAATATTTTGGTAAGGACATGGCAGACTGGCAAAAACCATGACCTGGGTCCCTTTACACGGCCACACTTTGTGGTTGGGCCCACTTCTATCTCTATATTGATATTGCATAACAAAAAAAAGGTCAGTGCTAGCTACTGCTGTGATTTTTCGGTATTAGAAGAGCGAAATAGGGTTCAGAAGGTGGAATATGTTTAGACAGTGTCCAGTTCAAAATATTTGAAAAGCATTCATCTGCAAATGCAGTCTTGCTGCAGTGGTACCAGGACAGTAATCCAGTGTTGAAGTCCAGATGAAGTGTGCAGGCAAGAGCCAGAGAATTAGGAGAAGATCATGGATTTTCATATTTCTATTTTATCATGGCAATACAACAGCACCACCATATGCTTGTGTAATGGGATATATAGAAAGCCAGAGAAAAACAACTCTTGGGGGGGAAATGTATGTACAAAGGACCTGCTCTTTATTCCTCAGCGACATGGCAGGGGTGGTTTAACAGCCTCACCCAGAGAAGCCCAAAGCGCCATGAATGATCCAGCCATTCCAGGCTATCAAACACACAACTTGACAGCAGCAACCATTCTGCAGCCACATTTGCCTTGGTGGGTAATGCATAAGAGGTATCCCATTATACAACCATGCATGGCCCACTGCCCCCTTCAGCCAAGTGGACAGTGGATCCTTTGTAGTCTACAACCATACAAGGGCTCAAACATAATGACATGTCTCAAAATAAATCAATGCTTCAAATACCCTAATCCACTCAGCAGAAAGAGGTGCTGTAAGACATGAGCTAACAAGCTGCACCCATCATTCTAACCACTGGGTGGCACTGTTAATTTCCTGCTGCTTTCTCTGGTATGCCTTGGCCAAGATCTCTATGGTTTCTTCTCTCCAGTTTTCATGGCCTCCCGCCCAAATCTTTCACACCTTCTCCCCAAAGCCCGGCTGCATCAGCTGGCCCGTGACTGGCTGCAGGAAGATGCCCCTGGCTTTGACTATGCCGGTTATGCCGTGGGCGACCATCAGGAGTGTGCGACGCTGCTCTGCAAGTCACCAGGAGTCTTAGCTGGCTTCCCGTTCTTCGAAGCAGTCTTTGCCGAGGTGGGCTGCACCGTGGAATGGCGTCAGTCCGAGGGGGCCTGGGTTGAACCAGTTACCCAAGTAGCTGAAGTCCATGGGCAAGCCAAAGATCTCCTGCTGGGCGAGCGAGTGGCCCTGAACTGCATCGGCCGCTGCAGCGCTGTTGCCACATCAGCAGCAAAGGCGTGTCGGGCGGCGGGAGAAGCTGGCTGGCATGGAGAAGTGGCTGGGACAAGGAAGACCACGCCTGGCTTCCGCTTGCCGGAGAAACATGCCCTCCTTGTGGGAGGAGCTTCCTGCCACCGTTACGACTTGGGGAGCCTCATCATGTTGAAGGACAACCATGTGTGGGCATCAGGGAGCATCACACAGGTGAGAACACAAAAAAAGCAAAGGAAGACACATGGGCCCATAGTAAAGCAAGTCCAGAACTTATAGCACTGCAAAATGCCACAGAATACTAGGTGCAACTTTTAGGTTCCTCAGAACTCTTTAACAGACTGGCTGTTAAGCAAATCAAAGAGGCTTGGTGCTATAGCCACCAAATTTGCTGTGGTCAAAGCCTTTAGATGGTATGTAAAGTAGTCACACATTTTGGGTACTTCTAGACAAGGCTTCTGTTGTACAAGCCTAGCCCAAACACAGAATTTCATGGGGATGATGGGACCCTGACATTGTCATCTTTCACTCGTAAAGTTTGCACATTTTTCCACTGCTGCTTTCTTCGTTTTTCTTACTACACAAAATCTGTTAGAAAAGGATTGAATACCTACAGAATGTCTTCCAGCTGGTAGGACAAAGTCCCAGATCCCAAACATTTGGGGTCAACGTGCACACTTGGCATTTTCAGGGCTCGTCATAGGTACTCTCGCAAAATGGTTGCAAAATGAGGTGGAGGTGCCATGATGGGTGTGACCAGTCGCAAAACAGCTATTTCCCAGAGAGGAGACTGGTGAGGCCAACAGAAAAGCAAATTACAGCTAGGAGTCCTCTGCTTGGAAGCACCCCAACTTGGACTAGGCTCTCCTGATGCTCTGCTGGGGTGCGTCTGTTGTGCCTGGTGGTGCAGTGGAGCCAGGCTGCAGGATCAGAGCACTGGCACTTTTTTTATTAGAAGGAACCCTGATGTCTTCTCCCACCTTTCATCCCCCCCCCCCACCAAATTCCCTGTTTCCATTAGTTGTAATGCTCACGGTACTTCTGTATGTGTGGGAACTAGGCTAATCTATTTGTATATTTATTTTCACATTTATATGCCGCTGAATAGCCTAACAGGGCTCTCTAAGCAGCTAACAACATGAAAATATATTAATTTCAATTAATTAAATAATCAATTAAAAATTACAGGTACAGGGGGAAGTTTTGCAACAACAGTAATTCTGTTGTAATTCAAAGCATTTCAGGACAGCCTGGACTTCATTCAGAACCTTTTCCTTTACTCCCGGTGGAGATAAATTTGCTAGAACTGGTTTGTTGACAGGGATTAACACAGCTGCCTGCAATTCTGGACTTTCCTGGGGCACATGCCTGTGCGGGCTGCTGCAATGAGGAACTGCATTTCAAAACTGACCACTACACAACTGATTGTGCCTTTGCTGTGCTTCATGCACGCAATTTAATTGGCCCAGACAATATTGCCTTCCCTCTGTCATGACCCTCCCGTTTTTCACCTCTTCAGAACAAAGACACATCAAATGAAACTCACATTTAACACATCTGGCTTGGGCTCTAAATGAAAAATTTAAGTGACTAAATAGTTACCAATTTTCACCCACCCTTTTATGGCAGCGTTTCCCAGTCTGATGTCCTCCAGATGTTTTGGACCATAATTTCTATCACTGCTAAGTGTTGGCCCTGCTGGCTGGGGCTGGTGGGAACAGAAGGCTCTGGCATCCAAAAGGTACCAAGTTGGGAAAAGCTTTCTTATGGATTTAATGCAGAATCACCAGCACTTATATTTAACTGGCCATCCCACAGCCACCAGAAGACCCACCACTTTAGCTGACTGGGAACTCAGTCTTATTAGCTGTGTAGTGGGCACACTTTTTCTCATGGAAGACCTCGCATAAACTTCACCACAGACTGCCTGCATGCAGTCCTTCCATAGAAAAGTCAACACGTCTCCCATATTCTACCCAATGGACATAATTCCTTCACTGCTCTCAAAGAAGTGTACATAACTCTTTGTCTTCTGTATGCCTTAGTATAACCCAAGGGACATGCATTCAGGTGCCCTCCAGATGGTTTGCACCAGAATACACACAAACACTAGCCAGTGAGCAGGGATTGCGGGAACTGTACTCCAAAATAACTGGAGACCAACTTCCGTCTCTCTGTTTTTCAATATTTGCAATCCCGTAGGCCGTCCAAAGTGCCCGGCGTGTTGGAGGCTTTGCTCTGAAGGTAGAAGTGGAATGTTGCTCGTTGGAAGAGGCTCTGGAAGCAGCAGAATGTGGCTCTGATATTATCATGTTGGACAATTTTGCTTCTGAGGTACTTGGCTGGGACAAGATGGGCCCAAATTAGGAAATGGAAATTCCCCTTTCTTTAAAAAAAAAAGTGTTTTGAAGTGGTTGTGTAGAGCAGGGTTACTTTAACAGCATCACCTGCAACACAATGTCCTCTTTCTTCAGAATTTGTCTACTTTGTTTTATTACTGACACGCATGTACCCAGCTCTGATTCCAGCATGGATTTGTGTCCCCTCCCAACCAAGTTTGGTTAAGCATGTTTTTAAATCTATGTATTTTCCCCTGCAACGCTCTGTCAAGCTGGCTTTTTCTGGAAACAGAAGACCTGGCCGCTTCTGAGCTTGGTTCGATTTTATTATTTATTTGTTTGTTTAGCATATTTGTAGATCGCTTTTAAACAAAAAGTTCTCAAAGCGGTTTACATAGTCAAAGGTGGCATACAAACATGCTTTAATCAAAGTGTTACAGTTGCACCAGGGGATGGGGTAGGGGGGGCTTTCACATAAAAATCTTTCCGCCTCAAACAAGGAGCAAAACCCCTCACCTTATGCTTGATTATCTGCACAGGTTCTGGCTTATGAAATGTCCTTGTTTTCACCTTCACCACCCCTCAAATGAGTGTTTCTGCTGATGTGTTTAAAACCATCTTAAAAGCCTACGTGGAAATTGTTCCACACACACAGTTCTCTGTGCGGTTTGAACCCTGCACTGTAGCTTGCCTTCCCACGTAAAGCCTCCCTCCCCAGACGGTGAGTCCTTGAGCAGACTCGGCCTCGGCTCCTGGTAATCCCCTTGTTCTCCTCCTGCAGGACTTGCATCCCACGGCCAGTGCCTTGAAGGCCTCCTTCCCCCATGTGACAGTGGAAGCCAGTGGGGGAATCACCGAGGATAACGTGGCCCGCTTTGTGGGACCCAACATCGACGTGGTCTCCCTCGGTTGCCTCACCCAGTCGGCCAAAGCTGTAGATTTCTCCCTCAAGATCTGCCGGGACCGGGTGCCCAAGCCACCCCTGCGAAATTTTGTCTTCTGAGCCCTCGAGATGGGAGACACTTAAAGTCCCAGTAAAATCGGGGGAAGGTTGTTCAGTGGGGTGTGAAGGAGGTGGGGATGCCTTCTAACCTGATGCCTTCAAGATGTGTTGGGCTACAACTCCCATTATCCCCAGCCAGCAGGCCCATTGGCCCAGGTACCGACCTATGCCTCATGCCTGCACCCCGGAAAGATCCAGAGCAAGTGACAGGGTGTGCCCTAGCAGTCCTTCTGCCTGTTCTCTTCTTCCTTGGACTTGCCTGGAGCAGTGTGGCAGCAAAGTGGAATCTACCACGGTTTCCCCTGTTCTCAGAGCTTCTTAAAGATACAGGTGTGATTGCTGCATCTCAAGTGGCAACTAAAATGGGTGGAGTTTTTTCCTGCTGCACCTCCTTGCTTCCTGTTGCTGGTGGTTTTGGTAAGCTAGCCAATAAAACACATTTTATTAAAAAGGTGTTTCATTATTAACAATGTTGTTACCTGCCCTTTTATGCCCAGCCCATTGGGGAGGAGAGAGAGAGAGAGATTGAGAGAGAGAGAGAAAAGTCATAGCAGAAAATGGAAGAGAAAAGTGGCAGAAAGAAGGGAAAAGAGGTGGCCACCCACCCTTGGCTTTAGCTCCACTTGCAACCAGTGGGCAACACCTTTGCCTGAACCATCTGGGCTCCCAAATAGCTCACACACATTCTCCACAGTACTCCTGCTCTTCTCACCGTATGGCATCCCTCTAAGCAAAGTTTTCTATGGCACATTTCCTGCCATTCCAGTACGCTTCCCAGCACTACCCTACTTTCCCTGTCAAAAGCCAATATGCGCCACTCCATGTTTCCTCCAGCCATAACAGAAGGATTCCCTGAACCTCCTTCCAAATACACTGAAACGCAGAAGAAACCCTAACAATGCTTTGACCCAGTTCTCCAGAGGATCCCAGAATGTAATTTCCTCTTACCAGAGACTGTGTAGCCCTGTGATCATTCACTCAGAGTAGCTACCACTTCCTGATTCTGCACTTCAAATCCCACTTTTGCCTATATGTAACTACCGCAAGGCTGGAGGGAAAACCTACTGCCCCTGCCTTTCAGTCTCAGACTGTGGATAGCGGCAGGGCCATGGGGCAAGCTGGTCCCTTTTTCCATGCTGTTCCAGCACAGAGGGGAAAAGGAGGTGACATCAAGGCAGAACCACAAAGCTACACTCCTTGACTTCAGCCAGCCAGCCCACAGTGGGCAATCTACCCCCCAAAACAGCTTTGCATCCCTGTTTTGATCCCTGTTGATTGAGAAAATATCGCCTGCCTCATTTCAAATAAGGCCTTGCAAGCAATCAGCTCAGATCTTGAGTAAGCGCCTTCGGTCCTTACCCTGCTGGCAGCCTGTTGGGGAGAGGAGAGGAGTAGCAGAAGAAAAGAGAGAGAAAAGGGGTTGGCAGAAAGAGGGAGAAGGGGCAGCCCTGTCCTCTGTCGGCTGTTCAGCACCAGCATGCAGACTCCAAAGGATTACACACAGCCCTCCCTACGGAATGCAGCCTTCAAAAGAAAACAGATCCCCCACCCCTGAGTGAATGCGTGTTAGTTTTCATTCATCTAAGCTGATGTGAGCACAGCCCAGGGGTGTTATGAACACTCATACAGGGCCCAGTGAGAACACCTCGGATCGGTGGCCTCACTGAAGCTAAACAGGGTGTGGAGACCCTGATCAGAGATCTGGATGGGAGGCTGCCGGGGGCCTATAGAAGAGCAGGTATATAAAAATAAATAAGTAGAAAGATGTACAAGTGAAGCAACTTCAGCCCTGTCACTCAATTATGGAAATCTAACTCGATTCGTCCTATTATTTTCAGCTGATTAATCCCTTGAATACATGTGGGAGGCATTCTTCTTTAGCATTTAGATGATGAATAGCACATATATTGTATGCAGCATCTTCTCGGAAGAGGTGCAAAGGGAGGGATGCTCTTTTAACACCGTGCTTGCCATTGGCCGTTTTTAAAACTGCCAAAAATGGCTTTGTTTTGCCTTTAGTTTGCCCAAACACTTACAAAAGAATACTTTAACAGATGAACTGATTAAAGGCCAATCTTATGTGCATTTAGGCAGGGGAAAGTCTTACAGCTCCCAGCATTGCCCAGCCAACCAGCTTGGCTGAACAATGCTGCCTGGCTGAGGAGGGTTAGGGCTACACCCTGAACCAGTCTTCATACACTCCAGGTGGGCTGGCCTAATGCTCCTGCCAGCTGTAGACCAATGCGTCTGAGAGGCATCAGTTTAAGGGAAGCTGCAGCCCAAAACAAAGCAGAAGGCTCAAGCTCAGGATTCAGAATATAGACTGGAATAAAAAAAAAGAAACACCACTGATTTGTGGGAATGTGGCCACCCATGCTAACCCATCCTAGGTGCATCGCTATTCATCCTGTGGGAAGACAGACAGACTGTAACAACAGGGCGTAGAAACAGAGCTGTCCTCATGTTTATTAAGACATTTTATGAAGGCAGGTCCCGATTAGGTTAAGACTAGCTGAGGTGGGCAGAGTTTGGCTTTGAGGGGTATAATATTCCTCCCCAAGTGATCATAACAGTAATAAATAACCGGTGGACATTGCATTGTTGGGGCACAGAAGTGTGTGGATTATCAGGGACCAGCATAAGGGAAGTTCCCCAGCCTGGGGGTGTCTAGGTGGATTCCCCCACAAAGCAAAGGTGGAAAACTCGGGGTTTATTCCCCTTCCTTGTCCTCTCCGTGTGTGATGACATAGCAAATGTTCTTGTAGTCGACATTGCCAGCTACATCTGGAGGGAAGGCGTGCCACATGTTCTTGATCTGGAGGAGAGAGGAAAAGGTGATCAAAAGTGAGCTAGTTTAAGAATCTGTTTCCCTTCCCAGGAAATTACAGTATGATCCATTTCAATAATTGAGTGGCAGTTTAAACATGCAGAAAATTAGGCAGCGAGAGAGAGAGAGAGAGGGAGAGAGGGAGAGAGAGGAATTCAGAAGCAAAGAAGCTGACGAGAAGGAGCTGGGACGTTTATCTGATCATTTTTATGAAGTTCTTCCCAGAACTGCTGTTGCCACTGTGACTCTCTCTCCACCAGCATCAGCAGCTGCCTCCCACCGGAGTTCTGCCATGGAATTTTGCATTTAAGCTGTCCTCTGAGAGCAGAGCAGAAGTTGTGGGAACAGTTGTACAGACATCACATGTTCCAGGATGGAAACTCTGTATAGAAATGTGCAGCAGTTCCTCTGTGGCAACAGAAAAGGTCTCTGCACGTGCTCTGAAACATTTTTAATATTCTCTGACATTGTTGGAGCAGGAGGAGGTTTCAGCCCTGGCTTCAACTTAGATTAAATCTTGCATATATTTGAAACTGATATGGAGAATCAGTGAAACATATCCAGATTTAATTTTTTACCTTCAGCTTAGTATTGCAGCTTTTGCAGAATTTAAATTTATTTTGGGGCAAGGAGCAATATATGGCAGAAGACCAGTTTATAAGATAGGCATGGGGAACAGGAATATTGTGGAATGAGAAAATGTGGTTTAGTTTCCTTACCTCTTCATGGCTGAACCGGTCGCACTGGGTGGTCAGGAGTTCTTCCAAGCTGTAATGGGGTAAAAAGAATATGTGACCCTCACTAGGTTGTCCCCAGACACTCCATCTTGAATAGCATCTGATCCTGGAGAATATCTACCCCACAGTGACTCCAACCCCTGTCTTGTACAAGTTCTGTCCTTCTGATAGAAATCCTTTGGTTCTGAAACAGTTCTTTCTATTCAGACTCCTCTGCTGTTGCAACATGGGTATTTCAGAGAAAACAGACCCCAATTCCATGAATCCCAGTTCTTCAAGAGCCTTAATCCCAGCATGCATATATTTGCACCACAGCTCACCAAAGGTAGGTATATAACTGGGCACCCAGCATGGGCTCCACCAGCAGGGCCCACAGACAAGAAGCACCCTGGCAGCCTGCTTGGTCACAGTGCTGCTGGTGAGGAGGAGGAAGAGTCATGGAGGCCCTGCTGACCAGCTCTCTGGCAGCCAGGCAGCCACGAGGCAGCAGTGGAGAGAAATGTGAGGAGCAAGAGCATCTCCTGGCAAAGGAGAGAGAACAAGGAAGGGGGCTGACTGAGGAAGTCTTGCCCAAGGGTCCTTGAGAACCTGGCAAGGCACATTCTTAACTCTCCATGGGGAAAGGTAGTTTTATGAGAAGGAGCAAGAATAATCTCAAAACCTTCAGCAATATTGGCTGGAGGTAGTTACCAGAGCTTTTGAAAGGAAGTCATGGGAGTTTAGCCGAAAGCACAGAGGACATAAATTGGTCTTGTGTCCAGTGTACTGTCTGAGGGTCAACGAGGGTTCAGCCAAAATAGTCAGGACACGGTTTGCCTGTCCAGTCCATGCCTTGGGCTTCCATGCTCCTTCCTCTCCTGACATACTTGGACTATCTCACTGACTTCTGCTTTTGGCCCTTCCACATCTAAGGGCTCTTCTGCACAAGACATTTATTGTGCTGTTAATCACTGTGTACCTTTGGTTTTGCTGCAAAATTGAGATCCCAGCTTTATACAAAGAGCTCTTCATTTCCTACTTTTCTGCTACAAAACCTCTTGGTAGAGGTGTTCTATAGCAGGAAAGTGCAAAACACATGCAGATAGAATACTATTTTCCTTCCTTCCTTCCTATTTATTTTATGTTTTTATACACCGTTCAATTAGCCACAGCTCTCAGAATGCTGAACACTTTAAAACATTCTAAAAACATTGAAGGGCTCATTTTCCAGGTTCTAAAACAAGAAAGTGTGCTGAAAAACAAAAGTAGATCATCTTGCTATTGTCTAAAGAGTTAATAAACAGCTGAAATTTGAGGAATCATGAATGCACAATAAATGCATCGTGCAGAAAAGCCCTAAATCAGTAAACTATAGTTTGTACTTGGCTTCCAAATCAGAACTGGAACTAATTTCGAACCTCTACTGATTTGGAGAGTGAGTGCAAGCCGCAATGTTCCAAGTAGAACGTAGCAGCAAACCATGGTTGGCTTGAGCAAGCAAGTCAGGGAGGCAACTGCGGTTTGTGCCAAGAATATGTGAGCCCAAGGACAGCCAAACCATGGTTTGGTGTTACGCAGGAATCAACTGGAAGTGAGCTGGGATAGATACTCACAATTGTTTCTTGACAGTGCCCTTGCCGTCAGGGTCCAGGACTTTGAAGGCACCAATGATCACATCCTCGGGATCAGCACCTGCCAGGATAAGGGGGGAGTGGTTGTGAGCGGGAGAGACACGCCATCGAGCACAGAGGAGGATGGGGATGGATGGGGGAATCACTCACCCTTCAGCTTCTCTCCAAACATGGTGAGAAAGACAGTGAAGTTGATTGGGCCACTGGCTTCCTTGATCATGGCATCCAGCTCCTCATTCTTTACGTTCAGTCGCCCTGCAGAGCCAGGGAGGGGAGGCTTTAGTGGCTGAAATAGGCACGTGGGGTCTGGCCAGCCCCTAAACTTTGTTTCACCTCCCACTCACATTGTCGAGTCCTTTAAAAGTTCCCTCTGGTCTTACCCATAGCAGCAAATGTGTCTCGCAAGTCTTCCTTGTCAATGATACCATCTCTGTTCTGGTCAATGACAGTGAAAGCCTAAGGAAAAAAGGACAAAAGATGGTGGAGTTGCAGGAAATCCCCAGATTTCCCAAAGGGAAATTAGCCCTGCTAGTATCTTGGACAACTTTCTCAGCTTGGCATCCCCCACATGTTGCACTGCAATGCCCAGATTCCCCGCAGGAGCATGGCCATTGGCTATTTTAGCTGCGAATGATGGGAACTGTTACCTAACAGTTCTGGAGGGCACCAGGTTGAAGAAGGCCGATCAAGGATTTGTTGCATAACTGCTTTGCAACAGCCTTTGCATCTTGCATCTGTCCTTTTTCAAAACCTGTCTTACACGCATTTCCTTCCATTTCCTACAGGTCTTTGTAGTACTTGCATAAAATTAAGCTCAGCCTCCATGTGAATGCAGAAGAGCAGCGATGTACACATAAAGTCTTGCTGCTACTGCAAGGGCCCCTTCACACGTACATCTTCAGCACTTGCTGACCCAAGAAGCCACTTGCATGTCTGCATGAGCCACTGCAGAACAAACGCCACACATGGGATTTCATCCCACTTCCTGAACACCATAAAAACAATACTTTTCAGCAGAGTCCATTCATGTATTCAGTTACCAGGTGTTGGACTACCAAGCGATGTGAAATGGAAGTGCATGTGTGAATGAGGCTTGAGCTCAGCAAAGGACGTGGGTGAGGTGGCTTCTTGGTACCCTGCACTCATCTATGTTCGTCACGAGTCAATGGAAGATCACACAGAGCCAGCCTTGTGTTGTGGGTGGCAGCTGCAGCTCCATGCCCTTTTTCTCTGGCCACGGGCTTGACACACTCAGTGTGCCATCTTTAGTCTTGCATGAACTTGCTTGTTGGAAGTCGATGTTGACTTCTGGAAAGGAGTATCCTGGCTGGAAAAGCTGCTGGGTGGTGCATAGGAATGAGGTGGGATATGGATAGATGCATGGCCTCTGGATTCCTCCCCATTTCCAGTTCCACAGTACAGACAACCCTCTGTCCCAGGTACAGGCTCGCTCAGAGCTGATGCAGCTTAGATCCCTGCATGTTGTACTATGAGAGTGACTGGTGGCCATTTGGCAGAGAACTGGACATATATAGCCAAGAGTAGCCCTTCCCAACCCGATGCCATCCAGGCTGTTTGGACTACAGCTCCCATCAGCCAGAAGAGAAGGAGGTGATGAAGATAACAGGTAGGTGGCCTCTAACCATCTCAAAAGTTGTGATGCACAACAGGAAGGGGAAAAAAATAAACGGGGCCATTGAGTGACAGCCAAGAAACAGGAGCTGAAGCAACTTGAGTAAATCATGCCAAGGGAAGTTGCCAGATCTCTTCTCTCTGGAATTTTAATGAGTTGACTGGAAGGCAGCCTCTGCGCAGAGGGCCATGATGGGACCAGACGCCCCTCGTTGCCTCCTCCAAATTTCTTCTCTCACCCTGATCAAGTAATGCGCTATGGGACTAGAGTGACGCCAACCCTTCGGGCCTCTCTTCCCCCTCCCGGCATCCCTGCAGCTGTGCCCTAGAGACACCTGTCACTCGATATCCCTCTTCACCTCCAACAGGAATGGGAACAATCTTAAACTGCCTCATATTCAACTCCATGCCCCTCCCCAAGGGGACAGGTGGTACATTCCAGAGGAGCTTTTTAATGAGATCTGGCTGGGAGGGAAGGGGTGAGAGAACCGATCCCCCTCGCCTGGCTCACTTGAAGGGCCTCTTTTTCCCGCTTCGTGCAGTCTGCTCTTCCATGCTAAAAAATGACCGGTTAGATGCGACAGAGCATCTGTCCTGAGCCCTCTCTCTCCTGCAGGAAATGAAGAGATGGAGGATCTGCCAGAGAACGTTTGCTCTCAGGCAGATTAGAAATGCAATAAATAAGCAAACGTTGTAAAAACGCCTCTGTTTAAAAGGCAACAGTTAACAATGGCTCCTGCCTCATCCCCAGCACTTAAAATTGTCACTGGGTGAAGGCCACATATCTGACTTCACAGATGGCAGCCCAGGATTTGGTGGCATCCTCTAGTTCGGCTTTCCCCAGCACAGTGGCTTCCATAGGTGTTGGCCCACAACTCACATCATCCCCAACCTGCTGGCTGGGAATGATGGGTGCTGCAGTCCAACACCTCTGGAGGCCACTAGATGTGAAGGACTGTCTAGCCCATAAATGGGTTTAAAGATGAATGAATGAAAGGAAGGAAGGAAGGAAGGAAGGAAGGAAGGAAGGAACGAAGGAAGGGGGAGGCCTTCCTTGCTTTGCTGATTCACTCTTGGCCCCTGGGCAGCAGACGGAGCAGGCACCCAGAGCCTGGATCTCCTCGCTTCAGTGAGATGTCTTGTGCTCCTATCAAATGATAATACTTATTCAACAAGCTGTATCCACACACACACAATGGTATATATGTAGAATAAATCTGTATTTCCATGTATGCAATTACATCATTGTGTATTATTATACACATATATGTGTCCAGCTGATTGATGTGATATGCCGGCATCATATCACAGCAATGCGTTTCCTTTCTTCTTTTGGGCAACGTGTGACAGGAAAGCGCTTGTTCTGGGGACCATGGCTGGGACCTCCTTCCAACTCATGGATAACACTGCCTGTCCAGGGCTCTGTACTGTGAGGCTTTGGCAAGGGGTGGCATAGAAATGTTTTAATAAATAAAATAATAAATAAAATAAAGCAGCACCGCGGCTCCCCCAGGGCTAGTGTGGAGTGGGCTGAGCTCACAGCAGTGCCAACTATATCACCATCACTCATCCCTCATGCTGTACTTTCCAGAGCAACAGAAGCCAAGGGTCCCTGCCCTGATGACCTTACAGTCAAGCAGGACAACATGGAAGAGGACTGGGAAAACTCGACCCCAGCGCAGAACAGCAAGGCAATCTAGGAAAGCTCATCAAAGCAGTAACAGGAGAGGCACTGAGCTCCACCGTGCAAGGACAGCAGTGTGTGCCAGAGGCTGCCTTCCCGCAAATCAGACAATTGGCCCATCTAGCCCAGTATCACCGAGTACTCTAAGCGGCAGTGGCCCTCCAGACAGGCCCTCCCAGCGAGGAGATCAGCAAAGCAAGACGCACAGGGAATGTTCGGGGAACAGCAGAGGTGAGGACAGAAAATAGGCTAGGCCTCTTCTCCTGGGAGAGACGTAGCGGAGTGTAACACACAGAATTTTGGACTGGGGTTGGGGAGCAGATGTAGGTTCTACATTCCCAATCCATCATGAAGTTCATTGTAGGAGAGCGGGCACGGGGTAATAGGTCCAGAGTCAGACTAGGGAGACCTCATAAGCTCACTGGGTGATTGTGAGCCTCACGTAGCTCAGAGAACACCTGTGAAGGTAAAGTGCGACAGGAGGAGAGGCCGGAAGGGCCAGGTGAGCCTCGCTGAGCTCTTGGGGTGCGGGGCAGGGCAAACTCCACCTTGGAAAGAGGTCCAAAGGGCCAAAAAGGTGGCAAGGCAAGCTCTCTTCATCAAAGGTTGATTTTTTTTAAAGTTGTCATCAAGAAGTAAGGAGAAGGAGAAGATTTGATAATGTGGCATACAGAAGGAAGGAGTATGGTTTAGGAGCTTGAATGAATGAAGATGGTTTATCTTCTCATGTCCCACTCCAAGGCAGCCTACATTTCCTTTCCTCCAGCTCCAGGGACCTCAAGCCTGAAGGGCTTGCAGGCTTCACAATGCTTGCCCCAGCCTCACTTTCATTGAATCTGAAGCTAAAGGGCCTTCTGTTGCCCACCGGCCTCCTCCTCCTTCAGGCCCAGCTGCCCATAATCTGCCTCCAGAGATTTCCTTTTAAGGAGCAGCCACTCGCTCCTTGCACAGATGCCACCTACTTTCTTGGTCCTCCCTCACCCGAAATAGACCGTGATGCATCTCAAGAGTCTCGGAAAGGAAACACCACTATTCCTGGAGGGGGAGTGCGGCTGCAAGGAAGCCCGCAAAAGGGCAAGGAAGGGCCTCTCAGAAATGGAGACCCAAAGACCGCGGAGGTGGAGGTGGGAAGGAGATCATCATGCAAAAGGCTCTCCTTGCAGCCCTGACTTCCTAAGGGGAATAAATTGGGATTGTGACTTGAGCAGAGAGACTACTGAAATGGTGTGCAGAGTGGGAGAATGGGTGCTTTACACCACGAAGGAGCTGGAGGAGACAAAGACATGTTCTCAGGCTGCATATCTATGTATGCTTTCCTGGGAGTAAATACCAGTGATCAAAATGAGTTTCACTGCTGAGTAAAGATGCCTAGGGTTGCACAACACAAGTACATGACATCAATAATTTTAGCTCTTCTGAGACTGAGACAAAGCAACTTTGTTAGAACTTGGTCCAATGATAGCATTTGAGATGCTTCTCACTCTTTCTCTCCCACTGGAAACCCATTAGAAATTCAGAATGTCTACCATTATCGTATTTGACAAAACCTGAACTGTACAAGGGTTCAAGTGACATTTAGGAAAGGAAGATTAGTAAGAGATGGGATTCCATGTAAAGCGGTTAATTGGATTTCCAAAATTGGGATTGGGATTTTCCCCAATTTTTAAAGGATCAATTTTATCCACACCATCTGTCACCAATTACTATCAATGCACCGCTGTTTTCAAATATGCACCACAGTGGAAAACATAGATTCCTAAGACGTTGTATGGTCAGAAAATTATTTCACATACCTTATCTCAGCCCTTCCTTCCCTACTCCCAGCCTTATTGAACTCAATACTTAATGTATATCCTGGTGGAGCTACAGATCTGAACATTCTCAGCAGATCTCCTTCATGGTGTTCAGCACTCTGAGCTAGCCACCTAATCTGGCTTCTCTCCATAGATGCAATCACTGTTTTTTGCATTTAAAAACTCCCCTGGTCTTATGCCCCTAATCTTCAGTTTGCCATATATATTATTTTACTTACTGCAAATGGTCTTATGGGATACCTCCCCCCACCACGTATTACTTTATTTCAAAATACAAATGAAGCTCCTGCACATTTTGCTGAATGGGGTCCTGGACTGATGGACTAAATGGGCCAATTACACTGATTCCCTCCACCACTTTTTCCTTGTTTCTTACCTCTTTGAACTCCTGAATTTGTGTTTGGTCAAACATGGAGAAGACATTTGAGCTTCCTCCTTCGGCTGCTGCCCTTCTCTTTGCCTTCTTGGGTGCCTGTGATGGGTTAAAATAGGAATTAATGGTCAGACCATTCTGTCCTTCATTAGAGAGGACAGTTCTCTATCTGAAGGGTCCAAGTTTTGTTGCTGAGAAAACACATATTTTAACATGAGAAATGACAGAGTCAGCAATATTTGCTTCAGATCAAGGGCTGAAGTAGATAACTTTAGCAAAAACTGTATTTCACATTTGTGAAATCTCTATCAGGCTGAAACTGCTCATGTCTCTTGAAAATCATCTACATATTTTTGTTTCCAAAAACTCTTCTTACGGGAGCAAATATATCAGTGTTAATAATATGTGATGTGGTATTTTCCTTAGCCCACCACATATCTCCTTTGAGCAATGCTGTTCTGTCGTTGTCATTGTTGCTATATTTTAAATGCATTTTTATGACATTGCATTTATATCCCACCTTTTTCCCTCTTGTGAGGAACCCAAGGTGGGGTGGTTCACGTAATCCTCTTCCAGTCCAGTGTTATCCTCACAACAACCCTGTGAGTTGGGTTAGGCTGAGAGTGACTGGCCCAAAGTCACCCACCAAGCTTCATGACTGAAGGGGGACTCAAACCTGGATCTCCCAAGCGCCCAGTCGAACACTCCAACCACCCAGGCCGCATTGGCACTAATATGTCTGCATGTGTGTCTGTGTGTATGTATGCATTTAATATATTAATGTGATTGTGAGCTGCAGACTTAGGACCTGCCACTGCTGATGAGAATGGCACCCCACTCCACCAGAGACACCCCCTTACGATCTGTATACAGGGTCAAACCAGAACATGGCAAAGCACAATCATCTGGACGTGACTTGGAGCACTCCCAAAATTACTACAATGTGCCCAAAGCAGGTGAGGCTCACACACCTGATCCTTTGGGAAGCAGGTTTGGAGCAAGGGAAGAAATGAGAGCTGAAGGGGGGGTCAGGCTTTTTGGTGTTCCTGCAGTTGATCCAAAGACACAACAGAACCTCCAAAACTGCCTTGTGAAACTTTGGGAACTCTCATACTATAAAAGAAGAGGTAGGGATGCCATCTCCCCCAACCATGGGCCCTCCAGATATGCTGGACTACAGCTCCCAATGGCCAACTGGCTGGGGACAACAGACGCTGTAGTCCGACAGACACAGTGGGAACATGCTGGGGAAGGCTGACACCCTCTCACCATGAGGATGAGGCTCAGTAAAACAAAAAGACTTCCAGAGCAAAAGGAAAGGAAACTATTTTCCTTGTGTTCCCTGTTCCAAAAATAGAAAGGGTTCTGCTGTTCCCCTCGATTCTGGCTCCGTTTGTCTGGATATTGCAGTGCCTCCAGGAATGTGACTCCCGAGGCTTCTGTTCACTCAGCACTTGCTCAGCTACTCTGTGCTCCTTCCAGAAGAAAGCAACAAGCAAGGGGTCCAGTGGATTCCATATGGCTGCAATAGTCATGAAGTAGGACCACAAGGTGATTATTTGGCAGGATGGATTCAGGAGCAAGTTTCAGGGTGGGCAGCCAAACAATGGAGATGGCGTATAAATGGGAAGAGATGGCTGGGTGAGGGAGAGTTTCAAGATCAACTTTCAGAGGGGAGCACTGAAGGACCTGGAATTCAGAGAAGGGCATTGTTCGATTCATCATCCAGAGTATGCATTCGGCACCTTGGTCTGCCTTCACCTCTCCTCCCTGTCACAACCCCATCCCTCCATCTCAGCTGCTCTCTGGCTTTTCCGCTCATATTGCTTCTCCCGGCCCCTCTTCCATAGCTCCAAAATATCCCCTGAGCGGGTGTATTTCTTCTGCCCAGACAAATATATGAGTCAACAGAAACTGAAATGGATAAATAAAAGGACTTGAGGAAGGGAAGGGAAGGGAAGGGAAGGGAAGGGAAGGGAAGGGAAGGGAAGGGAAGGGAAGGGAAGACAGGAGCGGCCCTGTGAACCACTCTGTGCTGTAGCATTAAGATCAAAGTGAAATTAGTAAGGGGATTTCACATTGTCCAACATCATTTATTGAATGCCATCTTTCAGGGTGAGAACTTGAAAGACTGCTTAGTCTTAAACTCCCATTCTGAAATAACAGAGAGCAAAGCGATTGATTGATCAACTGATGCTCCTTCCCCCCTGGTTTTCTCTACACTCTCCACATTTCCACATTTTCTGGATGAATTTCCTCTTCCCCTAATGTCCTTTGGGTGCCTGCACCTCATCCCTCTCTTCCACTTACCATTTTTTCTCAGTGGGCAGCAGATGGATGAACGGCAGCTGTGGGTGCGGTGGGGATGTCCCAGAGGCCAGAAGGACGCAGCCTAGACACAGGCTGTGAATTCCCCCGGGGTTATATAGATCTCACGGGAGGCGGAGCAGCTAACTATAGCCACATCTTCAAGTTTGGCTCCAGGGTTGTGGAAATGGGGGGTGGGTAACCAGAGGCCAGAAATAGACTCCGGAGGAACGCAAATGGGCCAACTCCTTTCTTGGAGAAGGGAAAGGTATATTGGGTTGGACAGTTCAAGACCCAGAAAACCTTCCAAGTATCCCACCTTCCTACCTCCCTGCCCCACCCAATTTTGTTGCAGGGATCTCCTCTTCTCCTGTTTAGGTTCAGCTGATCCTTGGCCAAGATACAACTTATTATTATTACTACTGCTACTACTATTTGAAAAGTGTCAGCAATATCCATAGAGCTTTACAAAGTATATGAGGCCAGCTCCCTGCCTAGAAGTTATTTATTTCATTTATCTATTTATTACGGTCATGGACCAGCATAAGCCTAGAGGTTTAACGCAGGCCAGGTAAGAGAGAAATGGGGGAGAAGGCAAAGAGACACTCTCTTGTGAAAAAGAGAGTGTGTCAAGAGCCATGTGGAAAAGGTGTGTTCTTATATTCTTTTTTGTAAGAATGACATTCTTTTAAGAGATTCAGGGATCTGGAGTTCACTTCCATGGCATTTGGTCTGATTATACACTCAAAAAACAAGCTTTCATTCTGAAATTTAAACAGCTAAGCCTTTGTCCTGCAGGCTAACCTGAATGGTGGTTCAATCTAGTTACCTCCTCCCTACTGTGGAAAACTGGACACTTGATGGGGGTGGGGAAGAGTGACTGCAGGCATTTGCTGGGATGAGCACCTGATGTTGAGACAGCCTTCATCACTGGCACCCTCTGGATGTACTGGACTGCAACCCCCATCATCCTGAGCCAGGAAAAATGGCTGGGGACAATGGGAGAGGTAGTCCAGCACATCTGGAAGGCAGACTGTTCAAACGCTGCACATATCCATGCTTAAAGTGCAGGAAGTGGGATGAAGAGACTCCTTCTGTCCTTCGTCTATATCTCCACCCTTCCTCCCTCGCTCCCAAACAGAGTATCCAGTGTCCCTGCGAAAATTTCCTTTTTGGGATCACTGGCCTCAGCTGTCACTGGTGACTGAGACACCCAGGAAGGAGTAGGGATTCCTAAAGATAGCAATCCAAGCTTCTTTCCTCACCCCAACCCACTGCAGGCAGGCCCCGTCCATTCATCCCTCGGCTTCATGCACAGATCCTGGCAACGTCCTTCTCAAGAGCCTCAGTGCCATAAGCCACAATATGCAATAAGGGCAGAGAGGAGAGGCAGCACGTAGGAGAGGGGAAACTGGACGCTGACCGAAGGCCATGCACTCCTGCAGCGCTTCCAGGCTCAGCTGTCCCTCTAGACGGGCAGCTAGACATTCCAGGGTGAAACCAGCCCTCCAGGTGCCAGAGCGGCTCACCTGGAGGCAAGAGAGGCATGAAGATGGTGCTGGAGCCATGGAAACATCTCTGTGGCAGTCTTTTTGGGAGAATGGTGAGTCCCTAGCTTGCTGGCCTAGGGGTCTGGTTCTTGCTTTGGGGGACAGGAGGTACCAGGGTCAAATTTCCAAAAAGCCCCATATATTGAGGGAGGAAGAGCCATAGCTCAGCAGCACAGGACCTGCTCGGCAGGCAGAAGATCCCTCCGAGTACGGCAGCCTGAAACCCTGGAGAGCTTCTGCTGGTCACCATTGACAGTACTGGGCTAGGTGGACCAATAATTGGGCTCAGTGCAAGGCAGTCTCCCATGTTCCTTCCTCAGAGGCCCTCCTGTAAACATAATTACTCATGGGGACTCCTACTTCAAAAGCAGAGGGATTTATTGACTGGGGTTACTGCACCAGTAGGATCATGTTAGATTCTCCACCCACCACTGCAAAATGGCAGAACATGGCGCTGAATGAGGCAAAGGAATAATTTAGCAACAGGGAGCTGCAATGGAGCACCATGACTGAGAAGATACTGGGGCCCTGTTTTGAAGAAAGGGATAGATGGGTGCGAAGCCTGAAAGAGTGGGTGGAACAGAGGCTGAAGGGGGTGGGAGACACAAAACAGAGAAACCCACTGGCAGCAGGAACAGAGTAATTAGCAAGGAAAAGCAGGCATTGTGGTGCTAGTGATGACTGGAGTGAGATGCACCGACAGGGCAAATGGAGCATTTTGCTAAGATCAGACAAAAAGTGCGGGAGCCCTTCAGTTCAGCTCAGAGTAACCCAAAACTCTAGGCCTTGTCCAATTACCCCTGCTGAGCCGACACATCCTCCTCTTGGACATGTGCCCAAGGCGGAAGGAGAGATTCCCAGCTAGCTTCTGAACTCCCAGCCTGGAAATCAAATTGTGACTCCTGTCATCCTGGGACTTTAAAAGTGGCCTAAAACTGAGCCAGACCATTGAGCCTTCTAATGAAGGACTGTCTCCATGGACTGGCGACAGCCCTACCTGGGACCTCTGGTGTACAGCGCATGTGCTCTCTGGGCTATGGCTCTTTCCTCGCATGCACAGACGCCCTCCCAGTGCTCCTGGGTCTACAAGCTGCATAGCATGTTTGGCGAGGAGTGCCATGTCTCGAGACAGAGCACATTTCTGGCATGCAGAAGGTCAAAGGTTCAGTCCCAAAGACTCCCGCCTGATATCCGGCCACATGGCTTCCGTTCAGAGCTGAAGTCAATTCTGAGCTATCAGGACTGACTCGGCATAATACCACTTCCCACGTTCCCATTCAAGTGACGCAGCTTTTCCTAGCAAGGAGAGGCCGTGCTGGGGAAACTGGTACAGTGACCACTTGCATTTCTTGCAGTCTCAAATGTAAATAATGGAGCAGGGGCAGAGTGGTGGCATGGGCAAGAACAGGAAGAATATGTGATTATTTTACTTACCTGTATTTTGGGTTACTTAAACTAAGGTATAGAGACTAAGGAAACAATCTAAAGACTTCTTGGAAAAGTTGAGCTTTGAGGAAGTACTTAAAGCAAATAAGGGAAGCAGCTACACAGGCATGTTCTGGGTGAGCCTTCTAGGCAGAAGGGTCAGCAAGGAAAAAGGGCAGGATAGTTCCAGGGAGTGGGAAACCTTTGGCCCACCAAAGGGTTGTGGAGTCAGCTGAGCAAAGTTCCCAGGAAAGGATGTAACGCAATATAAACACAGAGAGATAAGGACAAGGCCACAGAGGGCTGCAAAGGTAAGGACAAGAAGCTCAGGCAGGATCTAGGTGTGGACAGGAAGCTGTGGAAGGGAGTGCGCAGAATGGGAAAGGAGTAAATACTTTGGACCACAGAGTGCTGGCTGGATGTAGTGGGTGAAGGTGAAATAGGAAGTGTGTGTGTGTGGGGGGGGGGGCGAGGATGGGACACAAAAAGTCTCAGGTGCCAGTAAAAAAAGTGTTATTGTTGCTGTCTGCATTTTGGAATATTCTTCTTTAGGGACTGAAAATAGATGATTTTCACCTGGGATTTTTATTTGCCCCCTCTTGGTTTTCCGTTTTACACTTGCATCTTCCCTTCTCATTTGATTAGTGGATGAAGGTGGGACAATGGAAAACCAGAGAGGAGATGAAGAACAGGGACACTTTTAGGTTTAGCGAGGCTCTGGGCAAGATGCCCGTTATCCCTGCCCCAAGCAGCACTGCCTTCTTTCCTCCCTTCCTCCCACCCTCACCAAGTCACAAAAAGGATGGAACGGGATTCTTTTTTTCTTCTTTTGCTTTGGGAAGGGAAAAACAAAGAAGAAAGAGATCTATCTTTTCCCATCACTCTAGAAAGTACAGGCAGTGAGGGTTGGGGCAGACAAACAGATTCCATTTTTCTTTTAAAGAACTTTCACCCCTTACTCAAACTCTGGGAATAACTTATGAGAAAAGAGGGGCCCAGTGGTTGCCCTCCCCTGCTCCACACTTCGCAATGACAGCAGTCATTACAACTTCTTTCCCTTTCTTTCTGCTCTTTCCACATACTAACTGTATGAAGTGAAGTTCCAGTCAGTTCATACCCACCATTCAGTTTCCAGAGTGCTTCTGGGTACTGCACTTTGGGAACTGACAACAGTGAGCACGACTGACTGGTGCTTCATTTTGCATGCACACTCCATAAAAAGGAGCCAACAACAACAAAAGGCTAAAGGTTGCAGCAACTGCACTTTGTGGGCTCCCTGAACTGCAGGGCCCCAGACTTATGCCCCTGTAGTCTGACCCTAGTAGCACCACTGATGAACACTTCAGTGGTCAAGATGACAAATGACGAAGGCACAGGCAAGAGTTTTTGCTGAAAGGACAGCAAGGAATTGCCTTATTTTTGTTAAGCAATAAACAATTTGTTTTGGCCACAGTTTAAATATGGGCCTAAAAATAGTGATCTGATAGTCTAGCTCCCCTCTACTCAGCACTGGCGGGTCTCATCTTGAGTACTGCATCCAGTTCTGGATACCAGTGTAAGGATGCGGACATACTGGACAAGGTTCAAAGGAGAGCAACACACATAATCTGAGGACTGGAAACAAAGCCTTGTGAGGAGAGATTGGAAGAACTTGGCATGTTTAATCTCAAGAAGACTGTGTGAAGACATGGTAACACTTATCAAAGTCTGTCACAAAAAGGAGGGCCAGGATCTCTTATTGATCGTCCCAGACTGCAAGACACAAAATGGGCTGAAGCCATATTCTGGCCAACATCAGTAGAAGTTTCCTGATAGCTCCAGTAATATGTCAGTGGAGCCAATGGCCCTGAGAGGTTGAGCTCTCCTGCACACTGGAGGCCTTCAAGATGCAGCCAGGCAGCCATCTCCTAGGGAAGGTTTAACCAAGGAGGCTTGCACTGAGTAGGTGATGGATCAGGTGGCTTATCTAGCCCCTTCCAAATCTACTATTCTATCCTTAAGGCTTCCTCCTACTACTAGAGACAGGAGCCTGGAAGCCACATGAGCTGCTAAGGAGGATGACCACTTCACATGAGTGCGAAAGGGAAGTGCAAAGGCCGCTGGGAGTTTGGTCAACTTCTGGTAACGAACTTTTAGACGGTATCTACTGAAACGTTGTTCCCACTGGGGGTCCCAGCTCATCTCTCACGTCACCCTTGGTCCAGTCATAATTCCCACAACCCCCCCATTGCCGTTATTGGCCAATCCTGGAACACCTCGCACTGGCCTTTCATTGTATTGGTCAATGTCAGAAACGTTCGCGCCCATATTCACATCTTGTCGTTCTATTGGCTCACAAGTACGGTGCTCAAAAAAGGTCACACGCACGGCCCCCGCTTGATTTAATAGGAACCATCACTTTCGCTATGCGTTTGCTGGTAAACGTCACGTGCGCTCGTGACTTCTTTAGAGGGTTAATTCTAACTCACGGTGGTGATTGGAGAAGCCTTGCCGGTTCTTCTTCTAATTGGCTGGATGGTTCTTTAAGCGCACGCCTCCTTTCCTTTGTACAGTGATTACGCTCAACTTTACTCTGATTGGTCTAACTTCTCAAGCCTCGCGGCTAAGAAAACGGATATCAGGTTTTGGATCGCCATCTCTGATTGGCAGATGCTTCCCTCTAGTCCCGCCTTTGACTGATTTCCTTATTACCGCCCTTCCTCATTTCTCTTGCTGTCTCTCAATTCTCTTTACGGATTGGTTGCGTACCTTGTACCACTATTGTAATTGGTTCGCCCTCCACTGTTCTCCTTATTCGTCACCAAGCCTTCACTCCCGGTTCCCTTCCTTTTTTGTAATTGGTTAAATTTACGTTCCTTCTTGACGCTAATTGGCTGAATTTTGGCCGGGGCGGCTTGGAGGTGCGTGCGCAGCTTGGGGTGGTTGCCTCTTTTACTGTTGCTGCCGCTTAGGCGGGGGGGAGCGCGAGGCTTTGAGCTTCCTTCCATCTGCCCCCCCCCAATATAGTTCAGGCTTTGGCTGGGCGACTAGGCCGCATCCCCCCCTTGGGGGGGAGGGGGCCAGGTTGTTATGGAGACCGGTTCTGGGGATCCCCCATCATCCTCACCTCGGTATAATACCCCTCGTTCAACTCTACATGCTCTGAAGGGGATGGGCCCAATTCCTGAGGCATTAGGAGTGTCAGGAGACAACATCTCAACTGTGCCCCTGGCAACAGCCAAGGCAGTAACAATGGAAACCGTGGAAGCAACCATGCCGACCAGCAGCACCACAGCAGCACCATGCAGTGCCACAGAAATGACATTAACCATGATGACCGCAGAGATGTCGCTTTTGGCCAACGATGTGGGAAGCGTTGCATCTTCTCTGCAGGTAGCATCTGATGCTATCACTGCTGACATTATTCCTGTGAAAGACAGGCCTTCTGAGGAGACGGTACCTGTGACCAATTTGGTGGTGTCCATGCCTGCTACAGTAACGGTAAATGGAACATCAGTGGTGTCATCCCATGATGTAAGGATGATGTCATCACCTGTGGATTTGCCTAAACAGACCGGTGTGAAGTCCCTGCCGGTTCCACCGGAATCTCCAACGGTGGTGGTGGTGGCACCTAGTCCTGCAACACCACCAGAGAAGACTCCACCCACAACTCCAGAGGGTTTAGCTCCCAATGATCTTTCCACCCCACAGCTTCTGCAAGACATGGGCTCCCAGTCCAGTCTGGGCCCGCTGGCATGCAGGGCCCCTCCAGCGCCTGATACCTTAAGCTACTTGGATTCTGTCAGCCTCATGTCCGGCACACTGGAATCACTCACTGGCCCTGGATTTTTTGATGATGCCAGCTCTCTGGGTTCGGATTCTGAGATCAATGGACTGGCATACCGCAAGACGGACAAATATGGCTTCCTAGGAGGCAGCCAATATTCTGTATCATTGTAAGTATTGGCACCAAAATGGTGGCCTTCCCATGCTCAGTGTTAGTGTTGGTTTGTTAGTATTTTATCTAAGGCAGTGTAGTACAGCAACATGCCTAGTGATGGCCTCTATTCTAAGCTGGACTAGGGTGCTGGGAATAAAGTACATGTCTTGTCTTCCTTAGGGGGCTCTTGGATAAAATGAACTGAGGTTTTATATACTTATCAGAATAATAAAGCCGTCTAAGATGTCATGGTGAAATAGGCGGCATATAAATGTTCAAATAAATAAATAAAGGTGGGAGGGTTCCTTGTTCAATGTAGTGCCCTGATGGCATGGTCACCATCTAGGCCTCATCCACTGCTGTATGTTCATCAAGCTTGAGAATCCTGACTCTTGTCTGTGATTTTGAGGGAGTATGATGCACATTTTTTTCCTGATTGCTATTTAGGAATAGGCTGAGAGGACAGGAGACCACCCCTCCTTAGGCAATATCCTTGTTTGCTTCTGACCCGAATTCTGCATCTTCTACTTGGCATATTCCGAGATTGTAGGTTGACCTTAATAAACACTCGACTTCCTCCATAGAAGGCTCAATGTATTCCTTCACTTCCGGGTGGAAGGAGGACCTGAGCATATAGTTTAGGACACTTTCTGGTTCTTTGAAAACTTGTCAGAGGAATCAGGTGGGAACTGTTTTGGAGTACTCTATTAGGCTTTTGGAAGACAAAAGTCAAACACTAACATTTCAGCACATTCCTTCTGTTATGCTGCGTGACTCATTTCTCCAGTACTAATATGACCAGGATCTCATTGCTGTCCTTCCCCCCACCCCCCATAACGATGTTTTTTCCTCTCTGTAGTTTCAATGCTCTTGTCATTGCTTTAGAATCAACTACCTCTCTGGGTGTGTGGCTTTATTAGAAGGGCGCTAGCTGTTCTTTTGTATTACTCATTGTGACTGAATGTTTCTTGTCTGCAGAGGGGGTGTGAGTTGTGCAGTAGCATTAGCTAGAGTAGTGTGGAACTGGACAATCCTTCTGACCATTGAGTAGTGTGGGTTCACTGTCCCCCCAGTGCTTGATTTGTGATTTAATGCAATTGTCTTCTCCAAATAGCCCCACATATGTGGGGGGAGGAGGAGAGAATTAGACAGGGGAACTCACTGAATCAGGATGTGGGCTGACCAAGGCTTAGACACCTTCATGTAGGATCTTTACAAAAGGAGTTATTAACTTTTACAGCAAACACAAAGGAAACAAAAACCAAATCTCCCTAAGTCTTCTAACCACTGGAAGGAAATGGAATGAACTACTTCACTCCAGCCTTGTTGCTTCCTAGTTTTCCTCGCAGAGGGGATGCTTGGATGAATGAACGGCTCACTGTGTCCAGCCTAGCTACTCTTCATGGTCTTCAGGCACTCAGTAAAGCATGTGCGGTGATGTGGTGATTTAAAAAGCATTATGCAAAATCCTTGTGAGAAACGGACGTGTGCATGGAACTTGCTTTCTCTTCGTGTAGTTTGAACAGCACTGCTACTGCCCCAAACCTTGTCTTTTAAAGCTTCAAATAGATCAAAGTGCTTTCAAAACTATATGGGACTGGAACTGGGGTGAAGGTGGCTGTGAAGATGCATTTGTGCAAGGGGGCCTGAAGAAGCATGTGCCGTTGCTGCTGGGTTGTTTTGTGCCTTCACCAACTTAGGGCAATTCTGTGAATGAAAGCCCTCCAGAATGTCCTATCCATGCTATACCATTGCTACAGAGGAGCCTTTCGTCTCTGCCAATCCAACTGTATCCCTGGGTTCTTGTCTTGGTCATTCCTTCCATCATGCCGTGCCGTCATAGTTGTCTATCCCTGCCCTTGGATTAAAAAGTTTACCTTGCAAGACCAGTAATTGCATGGGGAGGCCACTGTCTCTTATCTTCAACCGTACAAGCCCAGACTTTTTCTGCCTCCTAGGGTGCTAAGGCCAAGGCTATATTGATTGATGGAAGGTGAGGGACATTTTTTAACTTGCATGGTCACCCTGGGACCCTAACAAGTGTGGCGGAGTGGTTAGAATGTTGGACTGGGACTTGGGAGATGCATTTGCTAGTCTGCACTCTGCCTTGAAACTGCCTCTCAGCCTAACCTGGCCTTGCAGGGTTGTTGAGGGGATAAAATGGAGAGGAGGAGGACTATATAAGCTGCCTTGACTCCTCACAGGATTAAAGTGTGTGGTGGTGGTGGTGGTGGTGGTGGTAAGCTAGGGATGGGGAAACAGCATCTTTTCCCTGACTTTCTCAGGCATGTAAACAGTGTGCATATTGTGTCTATTCTAGTCTTTTCTCAACTTCAGCTGCGTTAGGCGGCAATTTCCATCATTTGAAGCCTGTCTGGAATGAGAGTTGATGTCCAGCACAGTCAGAGGGCATCATTTTGGGGAATGGCAGGAATAGAAATGAACACAACTGTAATTATGACATGATAGTCTAGGATACAATCACCATATCCAAAAATCTGCTATCATTTTTCAAAAGTTTGCTGACTGCAAGGTATCATGAAGATACCTTCATCAGATACCAATGCCATTTCTCAGTGGTTAACGTAATTTTTAGGAACATAAGAACTGCCTTTCTGATTCAAAGTCCATGAATTCCAGCCCTTTGTTTTCAACAGGCGCCAGTCCAATGCCCCAGGGAAGTCTGAAAGCAGGGTTGGGTGGCGATTGCTTTTGCCTGTTGTTTCTCTCCAGCTGCTGGCAAGTGGAGGTATTCTTCTGAACCCAGCGTGGGTGGGGTTGTACAGTATCAAGATTAAAAATCATTGCTCTCCAGGATTTTGTCTGATGAACCCTCTTGTTACAGACTTTTGTATGATGTAAAGATCTGAGTAGCTCAAATCATCCCAAATTTTGCCAGAAAAAATGTTTTAACTTTAAATATGGAAAAATACATTTGGCAAGCCTGCTGTGTAGCCCTCATCTCAAGCATGGAATGTGCTTTTCGTTACTTGTCTGACAAGTGCAAATTCTGGGTGGTTTTGCACTCCTCTGATTTTCTGTGTTCATCTGTAGAATAGTAGATAGTAGGAGGGTGTCTGTGCTAAGGATTAGATTGTCCCACCCACCCACTTTTGTGTGTGGGGGTGTTGTTTTCTTTGCCTGGGGACAGAACCCGTTGTTTGAAGCTTCTCTCCTTGGTTGTAGATTAGCTGGTGTTCCTGCCTGACCATCTGTACTCCCTTCTGTCATCTTTCAGCTGCTTACATAGCTGGAAGCCCCCAAGGAAAGCCAGTAATTGAGGAAAAATGATCAACAAACCAAACAATAGCCAATGGGAATGGAACTGCGGGTGCAAGGAGCCAAACTGGGTTGAAGCTGAAAAGGTGAAAGCTATCCCTTGAAAAAACTTGAGCAAACTCCCAGCATCCTTTACAGTTGTGTTAACTCTGGCTCATCAAGGACAATCTCAGATTGGAGCAGACAGCCTGAGAGTTCTGAGTTGCTTAGTTAGAGTCTGAATTTGGGCGTTCTGGTTGATAATGGGTTTAGCTTTCTTTACCACTTTAGTCCCATGGCTCAACATTTAGTTATAGTCTCCTTCAGTTTACTCTAGACCAGGGCTGGGCCTCTTGAGGCTTCCAGATACTTCAGCCTGCAGCTCCTATCATCCCTTACCATTAGCTTTTTATTTAAATATCATTTTAATTGTTAATATTATTTATTGATTTTATATCTTTGGCCAGGATGTCTCCAATTATATTGTTTTATATGGTTAATTGTGTATGTATTATTGTTGTGGGCTGCCCTGAGGCTTCGGCGAATGGGGCGGCATAGAAGTTTGCTAAATAAATAAATAAATAGCTTGCGAGCTATGATGGGTAGGTCTGTAGGCCAAAATATCAGGAGAGCCATACCCCTCCTTTAGACAAGGAAATAAGTTTTCCCCCTCATCTGCAGTTTACTCAGTGAGCTTTGATATAGGTTAAGTTTTTGACCTGTGGTTCAAGTGCTGGGTGTAGATCTGAAGAATTGCTACTTGGCTGCAAGTAGCTCCCACTTTGGAAGCTTTGGGTTAGTGCCTGTAAGGTGCTGCTCTGAACTGGAAGAACAGATGAAGACGAGTAGGATGTATATTGTGTGTGGGGAATAATGGCCAAATCCAGGGCTCTATAGCCTCTACACTGCACCAGAGTCAGAAATTAAGTGGAGGCAGGCTGGTCAGGTTTCTTTGTGGATGGGCCTATGCCATACCTAATAGTGGAAGCTCCTGGGCTACTTGGCAGCTGATGCTGTTGCCAGCTCCCTCCCATGGGTGTGGCTATGACAGATGGAGGTTCTTCCTCTTCCCTCCCACCCAAGCCCCTTCTTCCCTGGCTTTTTCTGGTTTTTCATTCAAGCAGCCACCACTTCCTGTTTGGCAAGCCACCCTTCCTGTTTCTTGCTGACTTCAGTTAAAGGCAGCCCTGCTCAGATCCTTCTGTATGATCACCTTCTCCAACATCCCTTGACTGAAGCGGCTAGAAGGAGGGGATTGCATGTAAAAAGGGTCACCTTTGAGTCCTTTTTCTCATAGAAGCACACCCATTTCTCAGCACACCCATTCATGGAAACCCAGAAAATACAGAGTCATAATTGCCAAAGGTCTTGCTAATTTTTGTCACATTTGTTCAAACACCTCTTTGTTTTAACTTTGGCATGAGGCTTAAGCAAGTGTGCTGAGGTTCACATCTGGTGAGCTTGAAGGCAGGACTGGAGAGTGAGACACCACAAACATTCTAAGAGACCCATCAAGGAACATGATTTCAGAGTGGGCTACAGGGAAAGTAGGAGGACATGCATTGGTCCTCTTAAGTGTACTCTTACCATAAATCCTTTGAAGCGACAAGGCAAGGTCAGAGAAATTGGCCAGAGTCTGTTCTAGGATTTTTCCAAATATGGCACCTAGTGCTGCTTGTGTACAGCAAGAAAAGGGGGTTAAGAGAAAGCATGGCTGTCTGTTTGATATTGCAAGGATGATATGTTCCACTTGGGATTTTTTGAGAGGATTTCTGTGACCTGCTTAGTGGGTTGGACCTGCCTCTGTGCGTGTCAAGGATGGGGGAACTCCTCCCACAGGAAACATGACTCTTGAGAGTGAAGGGGTACGGCTGGTGTGTTCTAGGGGATGGGATTTGGCTCCATCAAAGTGCCTAATCCCAATTTACCACAGATTCCTTGTCCCACCCACAGCAGTATGGTGGTATGGAGCCAGTATGGTAAAGTGATGGCGAACCATTTAGAGATCGAGTGCCCAAACTGCTACCCAAAACCCACTTATTTATCGCAAAGTCCCAACACTAATATAAAACCTGAAAACTGAGGTTTTAGTTTAGAAAAAACAACTCACAGCCAGTCCAAGCAAATGTGTGTGCGTGTGTGTGTCCATCCTTGGCAGCGCACTGACCGGCCATGTGAAAGCTTGGATGAGTCACAGCTAATGAGTTGTGGCTTGTGACGTCATTGACTGGCGCTGCAACTCCTTTCTGAGCATGTGCATGGCCCCTATGTGCGCTGTTATCCGATGCTCAGATGCTGGGGCGATGCTGGGGTGACCTTGCTCACATGCCGACAGAGAGGGCTCTGCGTGCCTGCTGTGGCATGCATTCCACAGATTCACCACCACTGGCCTAACCCTACCCTGGTGCACTCCCCTAACCCTTTCTCTGCACAGCTCATCATTTCTGCCCATTCTGAATACATTCCAACCATCAAAATCATGCCAGGACCCCTCGTTTTTCTGACCCTAACCCAGTGATGGTGAACCTTTTAGAGACCTAGTGGCCAAACTGCAACCCAAAACCCACTTATTTATCACATAATGCCAACACTGCGATAAAATCTTAAAACAGCCAGTGCAAGCAAATATAGATATATCCTTAGCAGTGCACTAACCAGCCATGCAAAAGCTTGAACGTGCCACAGCTCATGTGTTGTGGCTTGTGACGTCATTGTCTGGCACCACTGTCCGTCTGTCCATCCATCCATCTATTTATAAAATTTGTATGCTGTCCAATTACTAACATCTCTGGATGGCTAACAGCATAAATAAATTGATGACCCACTCTGGCTGCAAATTAATAAAATACAATAATAAAATTCGATATTAAAACATATTAACAATTGATTAAATAAAAAGGTCTTAACCTGGTGCAGAAAAACATATCATGATGGCACCAGGCGGACCTCTCTGGGGAACACATTCCATAGTCGGGGCACCAGCACAGAGAAGGCCCTCCTCCGGGTACTCTGTCTCCTATCATCTTTCACAGAGGGTTCCCAGAGGAGGGCTTCTGTTGCTGATCTCAGGGGGTGGGAGGGCAAATGGGGAAAAAGGCGTTCCTTTAGGTATCCTGGTCCCAAGCTGTCCCACTACTCCTTTTCAAGCATGCACATTGCCCCTATGTGCGCTGTTATCCGATGCTCGGCTGCTGGGACAATTTGGTTCATGTGCTGAGAGAGAGGGCTCTGCTTGCCCACTGTGGCACATGTGCCATTGGTTTGCCACCACTGGGCTAGACCATTGTACTCAGACTTGGGAGATCTGGGTTCTAGTTCCCACTCAGCCATGAAGCTCACAGGGTGATTTCAGCCCAGTCACTGGCTTTCAGCCTGTCTACCTTGCAGGAAAAGAGAAGAAGGACCATGTAAGCCACTTTGTATCCTTGCTAGAGGGAAAAAAAGGCAGGATATAAATGAGCAATAATTTTAAAACCATCCCAATTTTAGACGGACTGATTCCATATAAGGCAGTTTCTTACATTCCTCCTCAGTACAGCAGCATTATTTGCTTCTCTCAGGGAGGGGCTTGTAGCTGAGTTTCTGCCAATTCTAGAAGCTGGAGTAGGGGCCGAGGACTCCAGTGTACTATTGAACCTTTTAGCCTTCTCTGAGTAGCAGCAGTACAATTCATGCAAAATAAACATATTCATGTGATTTAAAGAGAGATCTTGAAATTCCCACAGCCTTTGCTCATTATACCTCCGTGCACCTCATCTGTTTTCTTGATGCAGTGAAAGTTCTATCCCTGTGGATGTGGCCCGACAGAGGGAACTCAAGTGGCTGGATATGTTTTCCCACTGGGACAAATGGCTATCACGCAGATTCCAGAAGGTGAGCAAGACTGGCCTGGTGGCTGGGGTTCTGCCTGTTTTAGCTTCTAGAGAGAAAGCTTTCAACTGGTATTTAGCTTGGCTTGTTTTGTGATTTTTGTTTCTTTACCCACTACATTTATGAATAATTTTTCCACCTCATTACAGGTGAAATTACGCTGTCGAAAGGGGATTCCTTCTTCCCTCCGTGCCAAAGCATGGCAACTTCTCTCCAACAGCAAAGAACTTCTGGATCAAAATCAGGGGAAATTTGAGGTATTTTTGAGTCTCTTCTTGCTGTAGATGGAAAGTGTCCCAGCTGGAAGAAGATAGATAGAAATTTCTGCATGTTACTAGAGAAGATTTAGATCTTCCCTTTCAGGATACAAATCCTTCCAGGGTGATTTGTAGGTTGCATCAAAATCTGTCAATGAAATACAAATGGACAATGTTGATGTAGGAAGTGTCATCAGGAACCTTTCTCACAGGGCAGCTGGTAATAAATAGACCTGTGGGAGGTGGTCAGGGGTGAGAAGGGAGGGTCCATCTGGAACAGAAACAGAAACTTGATGTCGTCTTGGTCTACCTGCCTTTCTCTCTCTGTCTCTCAATTGATGATAGTCCAGCTGCAGCAGGGCACTGATGTCTTCTGTGCCTGCTTCCTGCCTTTCCTCATATTTCACAGCCTCCCCTCTTGGTTTGCTTTGTTCTTAGGAGTTGGAACGTCAGATTGGAGATCCGAAGTGGCTTGACGTGATTGAGAAAGACCTACACAGGCAGTTCCCTTTTCATGAGATGTTTGCAGCTCGAGGCGGCCATGGGTGAGTGCAAGGGTTGTGTTTCCTACAGTGGCCAGAAACAACCAACCAACTCCTGGTACTGCCTCAGCTCTGCCTCCTCAGTTCTCACAGCCTCTTACACAGCCTTTCCTCCTATGTCGCTCCTTTCCCTGCACCTCCTCATCTCCAGCCTGATGTAAGAGGACCTGCCAGTAGTAAGGCATTTGTAAGGATTCCCACGCCTGGTTTTTAGCTATTCCAAGTCGTGTTGCGGCACTTGGCTTGGAAAGTCCTGATTGTTCTGTAGGCTCTGTGATTAATAAAACATCCAAATGACATGGGGCTTGCGATTCTATTTGCCAGGACTTTTGGTGTGGAAATATGATGTCCTGTAGGCCAATGTTTAGTTCATATCTCCCAGTCCTGAGGGTTCCAGTTTCAGTCAGGTCTCCCCACCCCCATCCCAAAGCACACACACTTGAAGCGGACAAAAGATTCCGGATTCTTCCTGCACCTCATCCTTTTCCTCCATCACAGGCAACAGGATCTGTACCGCATCCTGAAAGCCTACACCATCTACCGCCCAGATGAGGGCTATTGCCAAGCACAGGCACCTGTGGCTGCCGTTCTGCTGATGCACATGCCTGCAGAGGTAAGGTGCTGCCTCCCCCTTACGCTGAGTGGAGGGCAGGGCAGTGAACAGTTTGGGAGCCTGTGGCAGGGAGCGGCCTTATCAAGGCGTGGGGATGGAGTGGGTGAGTTCTGAACAGAGCTACATTTTGGGAATTGCAGAAGCGTGAAATATACGTGGACATCATAAATCCACAGCTCATTGCAGTCTGGGTGGTGGCAGGGAGAGGCTGTTTTACTGCCTCCCTGAGGGCTTCTGCTACACTCCATCTGTGCCTCTTGATGCTCTCTTTTGCACTGCCAGGGGCCAAGCATCTCTCACCACTGGTCACTAGAAGGGGCCCCAGTAGCCACCGTGTTTCCATATGACCTTGTGTACATGGAGACCAGATGTGGGGAACCTCTTTCAGTCCAAGTTCAGTTTTGAAGATGCTCTTGAGGGTCACATTGTGGTGGGTGGATTTGAGCACAGAGGTGATGGAACCAAAAACCTGGCCTGTTGTGCGTTAAACTCTGTTTACCAGTAATATAGCCGTAAGAGGAGGTATTTGGGGGAAATCTGCCCCAAAGCCAGAATGAAGCCAAATGATAGGTGGTTGAGGGAATAGGGGTGGAGCCAGGGCAAAGTGACCTTTTGAGGCATCCCAGGAAGGCCTGAGGTTTCAGTCCCTGGTTTAAGCAATGATGAGGCCTGCAGCTGCTCCTGGATGGTGATCCAGTTGTTTCACCTTCCGTAGTCTGGTCTTGCATGTCACCTATGCTGTGACATAAAAGAAACATGGCAGCCAGGATAGGGGATGAACAGCCCCAGAGTAGAAGTCCAGCCCGAAGGCGAAGAGGAACCTCGCCTGCAAGGGTGTGATGGCCCAGATGACCTGCACTGAGGCTTTCTTGGTCTTTCTTCACAGCAAGCTTTCTGGTGCCTGGTGCAAATCTGTGAGAAATATCTCCCTGGCTACTACAGTGCTGGACTGGTGAGTGTGGCTATGTTCATATGAGGAAAGACAAATGAGCCCTCAGTTTTTCTGCTGGAGCTGATCACAGGGAAAATGTTCTGTGCTGGTTGAAAATCTCTTCTGGGTGGGAATTCCTCAACTACATCTGAATAAGAATGACTGCTTAGTGATGAGTCCTGCTGGAGGATTGGGGCCTCCTGGGAAAGGGTGGGAGGCTTGAAGTTCAGTAATACTCAACAGCTGGAATGTTTATGTCTTCAAGAGGAATACATATGCCCTCATTTTCCATGCTTTCATTTCTCTATTGAAGCCAGTGCATCTCAACAGATTTAAGGTTTATTTTTCTACCTTTTTCACTTCTCAATTTTGCCCCCTCCCAGTCAAACTGAAGTTAAGATTCCTTTGACTGAGTCTTCAAGAGTGAGTCTACCATGAGCTCAAAATGCTGGCCCAGCAGTCACTGGTTTGACTACATGTAACAGTGGGCAGGCAAATCTAATGCATTCTCTCTTTCTTTCCCCCACCCCCAAAGAAAAGGTCAGTCTGGTTTTTTAAAAGGACTGCAGTTCCTTATTTAGTTAACTGTGTTGATTAACAGTTTGACTTGGGCATGTTGTGGAACCTGCTGCTAGACTGCAATTGATAGCAATTGGCCCAACTGTCTGGGGCTGCTGGGAAGTGTAGTCAGTGACATCTTTCCTATCCTTGCACTAAGGTCTGCTGTGCTTTTCATATCAGCACTGGTGGACCTTTTTCAGCCTAGTGGCTGAATGCACTTTTGCAGAAGTTCACGGGGTTGAACTGAGGTTGAAAGTAAAATGGGTGAATCCACCAAAGTGCTACATAGCTTGCCTTAAATTTTTTACTGTCAGTAACTGAGCTTTAAGAAAGGCATTTCAACTTTTTAGAATGGGGAAAAGCCTGTGGAACATAATCACGTAGTCTGGGAAAATGGAGTGTGGCCAGGGAAAAGGAGATGTGGACCATTGGTGTAATGCTCACGTTTCAAATGAACATTTTATATGACCAGAAGCATTGTGCCTCTTGCCATCCCATGTTCCTCTGCCACTGACAATGGCTGCAAGCACAGAACTTGGCCGAACAGGCCTGCTGCTCGGCCCTCTGTTGTCAGTGGAATAAAGCACTGCAGGGATAAAGGGGGAACTGATGGGACAAGGGCGGACTGGGTACCACTTGCAATGCCCTGCTAACTCCCCTGCAGGAGGCCATCCAGCTGGATGGGGAGATCTTCTTTGCCCTGCTCCGACGAGCATCCCCCATTGCCTACCGCCACCTGAAGAGGTACAAGATCGACCCCGTCCTGTATATGACCGAGTGGTTTATGTGCATCTTCTCCCGGACCTTACCCTGGAGCTCGGTGCTGCGAGTCTGGGATATGTTCTTCTGTGAAGGTGAGGATGGTTCTTTAGTTCCTCTTTGCTGTCTGCCATGGCTAGTGTGACTTGTCCACTCCTTATCTGCTCCATACTCAGATTGATCCCATCAACAGGCAAAGACTGCAGTGGTTGTGCAAGGAAGCTTGCTTTTCGAAATGTTTCCTCCCCTTCTGAACTGCCTTTCCATCCTTGAACTGAAGAAAGGTGCTGAGCCCTCACTCACATGGTTGGAGTAAGAGCTTGGCAATCAGAGGGACTTGGAACTTTGTGGAGGATGTGGGGGGGAGAGAGGTCAAGATTTTTATTCATAATGCCAAATCTACGGTAGTGTGGCTATCTCTAAGTGCTGTGGAGGATCACTTGACATTCTCAACAGGAGAAAAGAGGCTATTAATTTGCAGGCATGGTAGCAGTTTATAAGTTCAGCATGATGCTGAGGAATTGATAGAAGTAACTTTTTCTCCTCCTCTTGCAATGTAATTCTTAAAGCAAGTTGCACAGCATTCAGCCTGCCTTGCTCTCTGGCAGGCACACTCAGGATTTGCAATCTGAAACCTGGGGCTGTCCAGGAACTTGGGCTAGCAATAGATTTGGGACGGGGAAAAGGAAGGGTTTCTTCTCCTGTAATTTCTGAAAATCACTGCCACATGTTCTGGTAAATGGCCACTCACTTCGATCAGCCACCCTCAGCTTTGTGCCCTCCAGGTGCATTGGACCACATTCCCAGCCAGCATGGGAGTTGTGCTGAAACACATCTGGAGGGCAACAGGTTGGGGGAGGCTGGCTTAGATGGTTGTAAAAGCGGAGTTACAAAAACCTTGACAGATCTAGCACACAATGCCTGGCCACTTTCTGCTTAATGCCATTGGCTAGATGGGCTGCAGCCTTCCCACTTTCCTTGTCAGCCTTCCAGAGGTGTCTGATTGGCTGCTGTGGGAAACAGGATGCTTCTCTTACATTCTTCTGACACCCTTACCTAGATTCGATTTCATCCATTCGCCTTGTCAGATTCTGTACCTCTGCTTGTGTATCTCTTCAGACTTGTTCATACAGTACACTGTGCTCACTGTGTGCGAGTCCATGGCGAGCTTCAGTGTGCTGCCTTCACCATGAATATGCCCCCCCTCAAAAGGGCTGGTGGTGTGTTGTTGAAATGCTCCCACTGTGAGTTATTCAAAGGGTAAACAGCCTGCACAGAACCCTTCTGAAGACTGTAGCAAGTATTCATACTGATGGCAGCACATTCCCTCTATGTGCTGCGACTCCTCATGGGTTAAATAATCTGTGGTGAGCCTGGTTTGTCATGAAAACAAAGGGTCCCCCGCACCCTGTGGAAGAGGTGTTCCTGGCCTCAAAGAGAACCCCCTGTCATTTGCTGTGGTTCAGCTTCTCTGCGCTGGCGCCCCACTTATGGAATGCGCTCTCCAGAGAGGTCCACCTGGCGCCGTCGTTATTTGTTTTTTGACGCCAGGCCAAGATCTTTTTATTTAAATGTTATTTTAATTAATTGCTGATTTATTTATTGGTTTTAAATTATGCCAGGATGTTTCCAGTTTTTTATGTATTTGTATTGATATTTATTTGTTGGAAGCCACCCCAAGGCTTATGCGAATGGGGCGGCATACAAGAATTCCAAACAAACAAACAAACAACTTCTTCTCCTGCTTGCAGGGGTGAAGATAATTTTTCGGGTGGGCCTGGTGCTGCTCCGAAACACACTAGGATCCATTGACAAGCTGCGCTCATGCCAAGGCATGTACGAGACAATGGAGAAGCTGCGAAATCTGCCTGTTCACTCCATGCAAGAAGACTTCTTGGTTCACGAGGTGAGTGTCTGATCCCTCTCTGTGCGTATGTGCATGCGTGCCTTAAAGCAGCAGAGTCTTGTTGCGCCTTAAAGACTAACAAATTTATTAGGGGATAAACATTTGTGGACTCCATCTACTTCATCAGACTCATGAAGTCTCAAGCTCCAGCTGACAGGCCTATGCATGTTCATCTGATTTGTGGTGATGGTAATTCTAAACAGTGAGGTCAGAGAGAGCTGAAATGCAAAAACTACAGACAGTGATAATTATCTCAGTAGTTGCCATTTGCATCAGCCATATCTGTGTGTGTTCAGATAAGCATGAAGCCAAAGTCATTGAAATTCAAGATAAAAGTGCACTCAGTACTCTATAGCCCAGCATAAGTGTGGAGGTTCAGACACAATTATTGAATTACATGCAAATCTCAAACATGAACAGTTACTCAAAAGCTGGTCATTAGTTTTACTCTAAGACTTTCCAAGGCTAGACCTGTTGAAGCTGTCTTGGCAGTGAGTTCTACAAACATGGATGACAGTCCAGCCAGCCCTTGCCAAGCTATTCCCCAATTCTGATGGTGGAGGCATGATTTAAGAAGAGCTGCAACTGCCACATAATAGGGAGCTCTGTGGCTCTCCCTCCCTCCCTCCCTCTTCCTCCGCTCTTAACCTGTTGTTGTTGTTGTTGTTTTAGTAAAACCAAATTGGTGTGGGAGGGATGCAAGTTGGTGTGGAGGAATGGTGGCTGGGGAGGGGCTGTTTAAAGTGGCTGGGGGTGCAGGGGCCACTGCAGGTGTGTTTTCCTCCATGCTAGGTGAAAAAGCAGCAAGTGTGTACTAGAAAAGAACCAAAGTGGACACACGCATCTGTAGCCTTCCCCTGCTCTAGCTTGCAGCCTGCTCAGGCTGGCCTTAATCAAATACGCAGCCACACTGGGGGGAAAGCAGGTACTGCCATGTGGCACGGGGCGTACTAGACTGGTAGGCTAGCATGGGGAGGGACAGGCAGTGACCTGTTTTGAATGCAACAGAATCCCCCGCGCACCTGTGCAGTATCGCCACAGGGAGGCGTGTGCGCTTGGTGGCCGGCCTGCGGGGGCATGTTTAGCCAAGGATGCCACGTTGCTAATGCTCTCTCCTGCCTCGCAACAGGTCATTAATCTCCCAGTGACTGAAGCCCTCATTGAGCGGGAGAACGCCACCCAGTTAAAGAAATGGCGGGAGACCCGGGGCGAGCTGCAGTACAAGCCCTCCCGCCGGCTCCACGGCTCCCGAGCCATCCACGAGGAGCGCTACCGCATGAACCCTCCCCTGTCTGCCAGTGCCAGCCTGCTGAGCCTCACGGGCCTAAAGCAGAGGGTGTCCCTCAGCAGCAGCGGTGGCCCTTCCTTCTCCCCAGCACACTCCGTCAGCTCCCTGGCTGTGTCGGCGGCCCCCCCTCCAGTCCCTCCTGGCGCTCAGAGCCAGGTGGTGGTGTCCGAGGGCCTCCACCCTGCCTTGCCCTCCCCCACTGGGAATAACATGCCCCTGGGGGGGCCCAAGAAGGGGAGCAGCAGCAAAGAAGAGAAACGGAAGGAGAAGGAGCGGGAGAAGCAGGAGAGGATGGACAAGGAGAGGCAGAAGCAGGAGAAGGAGCGCGAGAAGAAGCTGCAGAAGGAGCGGGAGAAGCAGGAGAAGGAGCGGGAGAAGAAGCAGCAGAAGGAAAGAGCCAAAGAGGAAGCCAAGCTGAAGAAAGAGAGGAAGTTGTCTCTGAGGAAAAAGGAACCCAAAACAGCCCCTCTGCCACCCACTGAGGGAGGGAAAGATGGGGAAACGCCCGGGGCATCAGTGCTTCATGACACATACTTTTGAACAGGGCTGGGGGCATCACATGCCCCAGCGACTCCCTCCCACCAGCCAAGGACCAAGGTGGTGGCTGCTGCCAGAGATTTACTGTGGTAGGGGGACCCAGAGGGCAGGAGGAGGTGTGCCCGAGGGCACGGCTGCTGTGCACTGAACCACCCAAGTTAAGGCCACAGTAGGGAGGAGGGTATTTAACTCGCATCCGCATTTTCATCTCCCTTTCTGTGCCTGAGGTGGAACTGACCCCCTTCCCTCCTCAGTCTTCTCTCATGAAAAGGGCCAAAACAGAATGGCTGCTGTGTTCATAGTGGCTGCAGAAGATGGCTGCCCCACGGTGGGTTTTGCCAAAGCCGGTGGGTGCAAATGCACAACCCACCCCCCTCCCCCCTCCCTCCCCAAGGGTTGGAGTATTCACTAAGGAGGTAATCATATTACTAATAATAACTCCAACGTCCCCCTCTCAAGTATTGTACATAGAACCATCTCTTGATACACCTGTCTAACCACTCCAGGCTACGTCTGCCCAGAGGGCTAGTTTTAAGAGCAACCTACAGTCTTTCCTCCCCAGCCCCCCAATATATTAACAAACCCCTCTTCCATTGCAAGTTGGGTTGGCCCTTGTGACTGTACTGCATATTCTTTCCTAGCTGCTCCCCAAACTGGATAGACTCCCGGAAGGCACTTATATCCTGTTGAGCCCTCCTTCTTGTGCAAATGTGCGTGCGCACGCAGAGATGCCTGCCATGCACGGTGGTCTACAGGCTGAGACAGCTGCCTTGTTTTCTGACAGAATCTGTCTGTCTGGAGGTTCGCTTGACAAGACATTTAACCAGGGGGGCTTTTCCCATCATGGACATCTAGTGGACAGGGAAGCTGGGCATGATTGACTTCTTCCTGTCGTTGGAGCCATTAGAGGCAGAAGGCCTGTGGTGCTGGATGGAGGGTAATCCGAGGACCCTGCTGCCCACACACTTGGCCATTTGGCTGCTCCTATGCAAGGGTTTCTTAGCAGTGGTCAGAAAAAAGCAAAGCATCGGTGCCTAGAAATGTCTTACTGAGTTACCTGGCCAAGAGGAGGAATGAGATCGGCCCAGGATGAGGGGGGTATTTTATGAGCTCCCTCCCCCCTTTGTTAGGCACACAGTCAAGAGATTTCCACTCCCCTGTGAGAAGCGAGATCTGTTCCCCTGTCCTTGAGTATTACCTTTTGGCACAAACATTCCTGAGTCATGCGATGGTGGATAACTTCTGTTTGGCCAGCTGCAGCTTGTAGACAAGAGAGGCAGCTGCATTTCTTGGGATCTTCAGCTGCTGAGGGCAGACTTTGGTAAGCTGTTTCTCCCCAAGCACTGGTGCCTGTGTACTATAAAAACACATCTTTGCCCTTCATTATTCGACAGATCCAGTCTCTCCCCCACCCCCTTTGTTGGATACAAAGGACGCATCTCCATTACAAGATTAAACCAGTTGTGAGTTAGTTTTAACCTGCATGGGTTTGTCCAGAGGCTTTAGGAATTGTAGTTTTGTAAGGATGCTGAGAGTTCTTTCATAGGTCCACATGTAGCTTTCCCCAACCTGGGTTCCTGGACCTCACTTCCAGCATCCTCCAGCCAAGCAACTGGAGGTGCACCAGCTTGGGGAAGGCTGCTCCGTGCTCTCTTCACTAAACTTGGAAGGCTTCTTGAGCCGTGATAGTTAAAACTGCTTGAAAGCTGGTTTTATTTTGTTAATGCAGAACTACATTCCTAAATGGTGCATGCTCTACTCCCTCGTCCCTCAATGAAAAACAAACCCGTGTCCTTTTTAAATAACTGGAATGTATTTTCTTTGTGGTACGCTGTGCGACCATAAAGGGGTCCCTTCTCCTTTTATGTTACCATGACGCTGGCATTGGCTCAGTAGGCCTTTCATGGTAGAGCAGAATGCAGCTGGTCGGATTCTGGTTTCTGTTCTGTGCTGTCTAGGGAGGCCCAGGATGCTAATGGGACCAGCAGATTTGCAAGAACTAAAGATTAGAACTGTAGGGGTCTGGGAAACTGCGAGACTGAACTTTTTGCTGCCTTGGAGTCAGATTGGGCTAAGGCAACAAGCTTGGACTCATGTATGTCCACGACTCTTGTTCCTTTTGCTTTCACTTTCTGCAGCATTGTTTTCTCTTAGGTCGCATTCTCTGCAGTTGTGAGCAGATTGCAAATGAAGACCCTCATTCAAAGCCTTGCTTCCCAGAATACACCTGCCCCAAATTGTGGTTTCTCCTTGAGCCAAAAGTCCTATCTGCAACTTAGCAAAAAAGCTCCATTAGCCCCTCCTGTTCTCTGTATATACCTTTTCTCTATAACACACACACATATATATGTTTCAGTATTGTAATTATGTATACAGATACTTGGGATTTTTTTTTTTTTTTTTTTTTTTTGATCTCGTGCTCTTATTTAATGGGACAGACACTGGAAATTAGGAATTCATTTTCTCCCTTGCCTTTTAAAATTTTTTAGGTTTTTTTTTTTTTTTTACCACCACCCTTAATCAGGAAGAGCAGAAAATTGAAAGTTTACAGCTCATATCTCCTTGCTGTCCTACTTGTTAATATTTTTCTTTCTTACTTTTTTGTGCCTCATTCTCATTGGACCCCCACTCCTCAACTGCTTTGTTTAAAAATGTTAACAAAACAAAATGAAGTTCATATTTGTCGTGCGTCTTCATTGAGGATGGAACGGGCTGTCTTCGGTGGGTTTGGGGTGTCCAGATCAGGTGTGGTGGGAGAGCGGTATCTACTAAATTGTGTGTGTGGTTGTGGGTGTGTCTTCCCTCCCTCCCTCACTACAATATGTTGTGTTGGGTCAGCCAGTGGAGAAGGCTGTTGAATTGTTTGCCCCAACATTGTACGTAGCACGTTGGTTCCTATTTGCTTATTTGCTTGTCACACACACTCCACTCTGGAGCCTGTGAACAGCACTCTTCTCCATTCCTTCCTCTCAGCAATCATGCAAGGTAGAGTCTCGTCCACGAGGCATCACTGAACAGAAATCGGAACTTGCACCTCCCCTTCAGCTGCCCCTTCTGAACATGCCCAGCCTTGTCTGGTCTTAGAAGATAAGCAAGGACTGTTTGGAAATACCCGGTGCTGCAGCCGTAAAACCAAATGAGGGCAGCACCTGCTGCTTCCGCCAACACCCTCCTGAGCACACAACATTCCTATCGTTACGCTTTGGTTTTGTTGATCTGTATATCATTGTGCATGTGGACAGAAAATCAGTGCACGTTCATTTATTTGAACTGAGCCGGTGCATTGTTGGGCCGTCCACAGTGCTGTTGAGCAGGCCAAGAAACAAAGCGGTGGCTCTCAGCCTGTGATCCACTACTGTCTGTGCAGTACGCCATGTTATCTCTAGGTGCCTTGCCCCACCTTGACACAAAACTCTTAATGAATGAAATGATGAGCTGGGCAGAGATCAGGAAAGAAATGAGAAAAGTGGGCTCTAGAAGTGCTGTTACAGTTCCTAAAATGCCAACTTTTATTTGAGAATGTTTTATTTGAGTTTATTTCCCCTTGTCTTTCGTGTGATGACAGTGCCTTTTTTGTATTCTTTCTGGAAGCTCATCATGCGGACTTAGACCTGGTTCACATGCTACAGCAGCAAGTTCTGGGCTCTTTAACGCACCATTCATGGAGATAGGCATTGCCTGTTATTTGCTTCCCTTTTTGGAGGAGATAAGCATGATATGCTAACACAGACTGACCTGGACCTGGACCTGGACCTGGACTGTTCTGGGTTCACAAACCATGTTCACAAGCTCTGATTGGGCTTATCAAATGTTTACAAAAGGGGCTTACAAGTGGTGCATATTCTTGCATTTCATGGATAAATGACCCACAATTCATGATCGGTGAACTAACCCTTAAGCTCTTCCTAAATTGATATTTTTAAGGAATATTGAGAGGGAGTATTCATGTTTAATTTGTCTGCTGTGTACTATTATTTTAAGGGCATTAAGCTGGGAGAATCTAAGATGTTAGCTATCAAAAGCTGTTTCAAGCTGGCAGAAGGGACTACTTAAGAATACAGATGCCCCAAAAAGTTCTTAATACTATCCAGGATTTTTAGATTGGCCGTTGGTGGTGATGGTGGAGAATATGGCCCCAGCTAAAAGCCACTGGCAAAGTATCCATGCCTAAAATTTAGGCTGAAGAGAAGAATTAGACTTGAAATTGTTACTAGAACTCAAACATTGACGGTGTTTCTTCAGAGTTCCTCAAACCATTCTGATACATTTAAAAACTGGAGGAGTAATTGTTTGATAAGAGCAATTACATGGTATGCTGTGTCTCTGAGTCAACTCCCTAGCCAACCTTAACCCTTAAAAAAATGAGTGTGTGCGCACATGCACATGTGTTTAAATAGGTTTCTGTCAGGATCAAGGAGAGAAAAAGGGCCTGAAAGGTGAACCGTTGCTTGCTTATCTCGAAGAGTACACAAGGCTCCATTTTCAGCACCTGACTGCCTCAGCTTGACACAACCTTCCTCTGCTTGATGCCGTCCAGAAGTGTTCGGCCGTAGCTGGTTGGAAAATGACGGGAGTTGTAGTGCAGCACATCTGGAGAACATCAGGTTGGGAAAGGCTGTCTTAGAAGGTCTCTCCTAGCACAGCTGAGAAGAATATCTGTTGATATCTTACCTCCAGGAAATCACCATCTCGGTCATCTTTGGACTTGAGTCCTACTTCAAAATTTGTTTTACCTTGCAGTTGCCACTGTGGTTCACCGTAGGCCAGTCTGTGCGGCCTGTGAGTCGCAGCTCACGCTGCCTACACGGAATGTTGAAATGTCTAGATGTTACTATGTGGGGAGGTGTGTGGTTGTTTCCCTTCCACATAAAAAGCCTCCTTTCTTGTCCTCAGGTATAACTGCTACTGTTATGGCAAGCATACACACACACACCTGTATCACAGTTCACAAATTTAAAACATACAAATTTATTAAAATCTTACTCTAAAGGCAAATGTCAAGACATATCTGCTTCACAGATACTGCCATCTTGTATGCCACAGTCTTTGAAGATACCTTCAAGGTTACCTATAACCTACTGGTTACAGTGCAGTATTTGGGACTGCAGGTCACCCTTCCTGCAAATCTATCAAGTTGTTGCCCTCTGGTTGCCTTGTGCTTCTTCTCTCCTCCTGCCAGGTATGTCTTGCCCCTACAATATCTTTCCCAAATTCCTGATGGAGCCGAGGGAAACTCAGGCTAGCAAATCTTTCTTCTCCCACCAATGTTGAAGAGGGCTGCTCATTGTTTGCCATCAAGTTTCTCGGGTCTCCCTCTACTTTGGAACCCGATTGGTTCTTCAGCATCTGAAACTGACTCTCCAGCTCATCCACCAAGGCTCGGAGGTATCCGCATCCTGCTGTGCTGAGAGCTCGCACCCAACCCTCCATGGTTTCCTGATTCTCAGCTGCCATCTTGTAGGATTGGCTACCAAGTAATCCATCAGGGTAGAAAATTTCAAACGTGTAGGGTTTGGATGCAGATTCCTGTAGCTCCACAGTGCAGCCTTCCAGAATGATGAGTTGTAGGGAACCCCGCTCTCCACTTCGCTCCCGGTAGAAAAGCAAATTCCCCCGGAGCTCACACCAACATGGCTGGTAGGAGGCACTGCGACTGCTCTTCTTATACAGGAGGCCCTGCCGGTCTGCAGGTTGTGACAGGTATGAAGAGAGAAAAGTACTGGAGATGTGGAGCTTCATGGCAGGCAGTCCCTGCAACGGGAGAGATGTGCATGACGGATGGAGGCATAGAGAGAGGTGCACAAGGAAGCTAGAACGAGGGGGAAATAAATAAGAGGGATCAGAGAGGACGTGGAAATTTGGGTTGTACATTCCCAACCTGGTGGACTCCAGATGTGCTGGACTGCAACCACAATCATCTCCAAGTGGCGTGAGCAATGTTGGCTAGGGTTGCTGAAAGTCGTAGTGCAATACATCTCGTGGGTCCCAGGCAAAGGAATGACAAAGAAATGCAAGGGTGAGTGAAATAATTTGGGGATGGTAATGTGATAGAAATTATGAAGATGAGGAAGAGACAAAAGAAGTTGATGTAAAGCAAAGAAGACAAAGCAAATGAGCTGAGCTGAATGGACTGGGCGGACATGGACAGAAATGGAAGGCTGACGAATGGAGTCTTATCCCAGATGCACACAGGGATGAACAGGAATTTAAAATTGGAAATCAAATTATGAAATTAGCCAAGTCTGACAGCATCCCCCAACCTGCTGCCTTCTGGATGTGCTAGACTACAATTCCCATCTCATTCACTTCCAGTCAGCATTGGGCTTTAGCCAAATTGCCTGGGAAGGATAGGAGGGGAAGTCCAACACATCCAAAAGGTGCTAAACTGGGGGATTCTGGTTTATGATAAGCAGGCGAGAAAGGACAAAAGAATTAAATGGACACAAGAAGAGAAAGTAAGCATTTTGTAAGAATTGAGAATAAAAGGTGGTGATGGTGAAGAGAACTGAATGATAGAGAAAAGACCAAATGTATGAATTACTAAGTAACAGTCTCGGAGAAGTAATTGTGGGATAATAAAAACATCACAGAGAAGGAAAAGCCTGAGTGAAAGTGAAGGGAACAGGAAAAGGTGAGGGAAAGAGGGTGACAATTTCCCTTCTAGAACAGTTTTCTCCAACTTGGTGGCCTTCAGATGTGCTCTAACACATCTGGTCACTGGAAGAGATTAGGGATGGCATAGTGACAGTTCCTTTTCCCAGCAAGAAACATAGAACATAGAAACAGAGTGAGTCAGAAGGGGTTAGGGTTGAAGCAGCTACAGGAGTCATAGGCAAACCTGAGGATCTTGACAGAAGATGGAGCCTCTGAGTACCCTTACCTTTGGTGTGAAATGCACCAGAGCGTTACCCTTCAAAGGTTTCAGGGTTTTTTTCCCCCTGTCTGGTCAGGCTTGTTTCCTTTTGCCACTGTAGGAGAGTAATGATTTCCCAGGTGAAGGGGTGGAGCTTGAGCTCACCTGCCTTCCTCCAGCCAGATGCCTTTAAAAGTCACTTGATCCCACAGACCAGGAAGCAAGAGCAGTGGGTGAAGAGGCCAGGCTCTCTTCTGCTCCGATCATGGTTGCCTGCTTTCTTCACTCATAGTTCCTCCTCTACCACAGGAAGAACAGCCAGCCAGAAAGAGGAAACAGGGAGCCTCCAATGAGCCCTGGAACATCAGCACAAGCTGATGTTCTTTTTGGTCTTAAAGAGAACTTGTCAGAAGGAGGAGGGATTGGATGCAACAATCAATTATTTTGGAAACTGGAGGGTGTTGGGTCCTGCATTTAAGTTGTTGTGCTATCTACAAAAGGCTCATTTATCTGAGATAGTTTGCCCACCCTGGTGAATTGTATTCTCCCCCTTGGAACTGGCATTAAGAACGGGTTGGCTGATATCCCAGCCAGGGTCTTCTTGGTGATGGCACTTCCCAGGGAAACCCCTGTCTTGTCCTTAGGTGTGCTGTGAGGACCGTTTTGGCGCAATAGGGCAGGGCTTCAGTGCATACATCACTGTGTCTCTCTGCTGACTCTTAGATTTCAGAATATTTATTCTGACGTATTATTGTATAAATGGATGCATGATTCCATTTATACTTTGCCTTTCTTCCCCCTGTAAAGAACCCAGGAAGGCTTACAAAGTTCTCCTCTCCATTTTATCCTCGCAACAACTCTGTGGGTCTGTGACTGCTATGCCACACTGGCACTCTCATGTTTCTTTCAAGTGTTTTTCTTGTTTGTTTTTCTTGTTAAGGTTGTGAGCCAGTTTGAAAAGATGATGCTATTAGCAGTGGGGTGCAAAAGAATAAAGCAATTCCTATTTCAGAGAAACCTGAAAGCCTGCATGGCTTAGCATCAGGATTACTAGGCACCAATATTTTTTCAACAGTAGTGTGCTGGGAAAATATATTCAACAGGGAAAATTCCCTGCTTTGGAGTCTCAACATCTAGCAGAAGGGAAAGACAGCAATCCTGTGTATAAATTGGGGACTGGGATATGAAATCTGGAGCAGTAATTATCACAGGGTGAAGCTACACAGATCTTATTCCTGTGTGGGGGCAAAGAACACCTGAAGGAGTGGTTTGTGAAGCCTTATCCCCAAGGCATCATTATTCCTAATCTAATTAGGAAAAGCTTCTGTGGTGTGATTTCATGTCATTTGATGCACTTCTACACTGTCAAATAGCCAAAGCTCTCTGAGCAGTTTAAAAGATTAAACTTCTTAACAGTACAGTTTTGTGTATAATATAAAAAGGATTTAGCTGCAAACCTATAGTTAAATTGTGTTTCTATTATTGTATTTATGTATTTTAGCAACAAACATCTGGCAGAAAACATCAATGAATTGCAATGACTGTGAAAGTGAAAGTAAGGGCAAAAGCAGGACTGCAGCTGAATATTAACAATTATGACTACAGATGATTCACAGAATGTTAAGTTCAACAACGAAGAAATTGAAATACTGAAAGATTTTGCATACTTTGGCTCAATCATTGATTTTTACAGAGACTGCAGCCAAGAAATTAGAAGACTGAGACTTGGAAGGACAGCAGTGCAGGAACAAGAAAAGATAATCAAGTATAAGGACATTTAATTGGAGACCAAGGCAAAGATAATCCACACTAACATATTCTCAATCACTGTGTATAGGTGTGAAAGCTGAGTGGAAGGACATGATGCTAGAGTAGAGCTTGGCAAATGCCCTGGACCAGCAGAAAGACAAACAAGTGACTCCTAGATCAAATCAAGCCAAAGGTTTCTCTGGGAACAAGTCATGCTTTGAGCACAAATGGAGGCTGTCATGCTTTGGGCTCATCATGAAAAGGCAAGGCCTACTGGAGAAGACAATAATGCTAAGGAAAGTCAAAGACAGAAGAAAAAGAAGATAAAGACCAACAGTGTGATGAATTGATCCCATAAAGGATGCCACAGCCTTGAACTTAGAACAGCTGAGTAGGATTGTGGACAGGGCATTTTGTAGAGCATTTGTCCATAGGGTCGCCATAAATCAGAGTATGGCACATTAGCTGAGCAAGCACATCCTAACAATATACCCCATGGCTTGATCACAAGCCTATCATATGCTGCCAAGTGGGATTAGAGGAAGGTCTTAAAATGGCATCTAAAAGTTAACAATGTTGGTACCAGATGTGCTTTGCTGGGGCATTTCTTTCAAAAGTGGGAGGCCACTACCAAGAAAGGCAACCTCCGAGCTCCCCTTGGAGGAAGGCTTACTCAGTGAGCATTCCTGAGCTACACGAGGCCTTACAGCTCCAAACCTGGCTTGGGAAGGTACACACAACCAGTGCAAATGGACCTGCACTGGTTTTTGGACCTTCTTTTCTTTGTTATCAGTATGCATTTTAATAGTCCACTTTGTCTGGTTTTAGGAGGGAAAGCAAAGATGCCTTGTGTTAGTTTTTTCTGATGGTTACGTGGGGATTTAAAACAGATTCTGATGGCAGAATCCTGTGCATGTTGTCAGAATCCTGGAATCTCAATTTGAGAAGAGGAAATAAAACTCGGGTTCGTGGGAAAGATCAAGCATCCAGACCATCTAGGCTTTATTGTATTATCCAGGTTCCCGTGGTAGACTCTCATGATAATGCATTACTGGGCAGGCAGAGGTAAACTCTGCTGCCAAGCTTCAACAGAACTACAGGGTTTTTATACCCTCCCAGGTACAGGGCAATTGATGACAGAATGCAGAGATTACAATAAGAGTCTGAAGTCATCACATACAGAACAGATAAAGGAATGTCAGTCAATCCTACAGAGACAGTAAGATTACAATATTTCTAATAGCAGTGTATCGGCATTTTAGTTGAGTTACTTGAACCCATCTCCAGGTCTGCTTAGACATGTAAATTCAAGCTACTGAGAAACTATGCACGAACTCAAGACACTTATCTAGACTCTAAACATTCTGAGTGACCAGGACACATGGAGCCCTGGGCTAGGAAGATACTTCCTTGTAAAACTGAATTCCAACAATGATTAATCATTGTGAAGGTATACAGTGAAAATTTGGACTAAATGACCCGTGTACTGTGGCTTACAGCTAAAGGTGAGAGAAAGGAGCGGGGAATGCCATTTTAAACAGTGGCAGCTTGGTTTTGAGAAGGAGTACAGGATTTGATCCCACAATTCAAACGCACACAGTAGTAATGCTTTTCAGACAGGATTTATCCAAATTTTCCCAACAATGTCTATGCAGAAATTAACTCTTGGTTGCATAGGACCTAATCCCAGGAAAATTCACATTGCAGGGGTAAGCAACCAACCTCATTTCATGTAGCCCTGAGCCTAATTTCAACCTCCCTCTGTGTGTGATTAACTTAAACCTCAGATAAGAGCACTGTCCAGCACTAGCAGCCTTGGAAGCAAGAAACAGAGAGAAGAGCTGGAGAGCAGTTTTCTTTTTCCTTAGTGAGATAGGCTCGAAAGGATGCAGAACTTTTATAAGGGGAAAAACCTGTTCCAATGTTGCTATTTTAATCATTCTTGTAAATACCACACTTTATAAGGGGAGGCCAATAAATACACGGCGCCTTTAAGCTTTGCCCATACTTTCTTGCTGCGCTGGTCAGCCCCAATGAAGCAATCGGCTGCCAGAAGTTTCTGTCAGTTCCGGTGCGCCGGAAAAAGGGGGGAAATGTCACCGTCCCTCTGACGCCATTTCCTCTTCGAGTGGTGGCGGGACCCGGATGTTGATTCCTCCGCCGTGGTGGTTGCAGAGTTGGGGTGCTGTTGGGGTTTAAACTGCTTAGGTAGGAGCCGGCCCCGTTCAGAGCAAGGGCGGTGGAGGAGGCAGCGGCGTGTTGCGGGGGGCCGGTCGCTTGCATGGTGTAATTGCTTGCTGCGCTTGGGATCTCGAGAATTGGCGGGAGCCTGCTGGGGGGGGGGGGGCAGAAATGGGGACTTTAAGCGCCCCCCGATAACTGCTGAAGGGCTCTCTCAGGTTACCTCCAGCTTGATTGGACCTATGGAATCTGTCTCTGTGTCGTTGACCAGGCTTATTGGGACTATGGCTTGGTAGACATCTTTCCTTCTACCGCCGTCCCCTCACCCCCGTTCGTTAGTGTGGCCTCTTTTAAGATGTAAATCGGTGGGTTTCTTGAGAGCTTCATGTGCGTGCATAATTGAGACACTTATTTACAGAAGGGGGCAAGTTACTGCATAAGGTAAAAATGAAAAAAGTCTTTAGAAATGTTGGTTTCTAGTCCTTGTGAAGGTGGATAACGCTCAACAGCCAAAGCAGGACAGAAGAAGAAGAGTGGTCTTGATTCTTTTCTCCCGTGGCTACTATTATTCTAGTGAGCAGTCCTTTCTCTTAGTGGCCCTTGCTTGTGAACATCTCAGTACGTCTTCCCCCTTGTTTTACCATGCCAAATAAAGTTTAAAAAATGTAAAAATGCCATAGATCAAATGATTTGTGCATATGCACTCCAGTATCAGAGGCAGTATGCCCATATGCACCATTTGCCAGGTAAGTTGAGCAGGAAGGACTCATGTCCTATTCATGGGATCCTGTGAGCAGCTGGCTGGCCACTGTGTGAACAGAATGCTGTACTAAATGGACCTTTGGCCTGATACAGCAGGCTTGTCTTGAATTTGATGTTCTTAAATATATGTAGTTCTTACTGAAATTTTTGAAACATCTTACTTGAATATTTTGAAATAAACTATTGTAATGAATGCTCAGGAATCTTTTAATGTTCAGTGTTGGTGTTTCCTTAGCTATAGGATTCAGTAACTAGCCAAGTTGTATCATAGTAGCAATTCTGTTTATACAGAGAGGCAAATGTGTATAAAGCAGGTCCTTGTGTCTGTACTGCTAGCAAAGATGACTTCAGCAGCTGCATGTTTACAAACTTCCCTTTGAGACCTGCTTGGTAGAGATAAGGGCCTTATCCAACTGCACAGCCAGCATTCTCCTGATGCTGGTTGATTCGACCTATTGGAACAGCAAGTGCTCTGAAAAGCTCTGTAGCTTGTGCAGAGGTCTCTTGGGTGTTTGGAGCCCCATTTACCCATCTCTGAATTTTGTCTGCTTTTTAAAGAGCTACAATGTCGAAACGCAAGGTGACCTTTGAGGATCAAGGTGATGAGAATGAAGAGGAAATGAGTTTGCCAAAAAAAAAGGTGAGTAGCAACCTCCCTCAGCTTGGTGTTCTCCAGATGGTTTGGTTTAAAACTCCCAGAATCCCGAACTATGTTTTAACCATGAAAGTACACAATTTGGGATAATAGGAGTTGTAAACTTGGGTACCCTGGTGCTTCCCAAATATTGTTATGCTGTTACATTTACATATTCTGTAAAGAAGGGCCTTTTCTACAGTGGCTGCACACTTCTGGATTAGATTGTCATTGGGGATCCACCAGGTTCTGTTTCTGCAGGCTTTTAGGAAAACCTTGGAAATGTATTGCCCTTTTCTGAGTTTTAGAAGACTGGGTTGCAGCTGGTTGTGTCATAGGCTTTGTTTTATGTTGTTCATTTTTAAAAAGAATTATTTATGCTGTTCTCCTGTTTTTATAACTGCACTGGATTTTATTATCTAAATGTTGCTGTTGTGTGCTAACTTGGGAGGGTCCATGCCTTTTAAAATAGAGCCAGGAAGCTTCTGAGGGAAAGCTGACAGGATCTGGGCAGCACCCAGTTCAGGTTAAATTATTCCTTGTAAATGAAGAGGCAAAAGTTTCTGATTGCCCATTAAATATAGGAGGGGAGGAAAGAGACCACAGGCTTCAGGTGAAGCCTAACCAGTCAGAGAGTTTTCATGACAGAGCATAAGTTGCACATGGCTGGAGAGGGATGCTGTGTTTAGGTGTTTCTATACGAATGCTAGAACCCTCAGAGCTAAAATAGGACAACTGGAGTGCCTGATTTTAAAGGATGGGCTAGATGTGGCAGCCATTACAGAAATCTGGTGGAATGGAGAGAACGAATGGATATGGTCATCTCTGGACATAAATTGTGTAGGAAGTACAGGAAAGGGCATTCTGGAGGCAGTGTTGCCCTTGTACATTAATAAGAACATAGAATCTAGCAGACTTAATAATATAAAATGTGCAGATCCCTCAACAAAAGCACTGTGGGTGACAACACCAGGCTCAGACTAATTCAGTCATAAGGATATGCTATCATCCCCTAGACCAGAATGCTCAGAGTGATCTTGACATGGAGAATGAAATCAGAGAGGCCTCCAGTGAAGCCAGTGCTGTAATAATGGGTAACTTTACCCACACAGTGACTGGATAAATGTATGCTTTGCTTCTAATAAAGAAGTTAAATTTCTCGATGTTTTAAATGACTGTGGTCTAGAATAGTTGGTCATGCATCCAACCAGAGGGGAAGCAATCTTGGATTTATTCCTAGGTGAGGTTGCCCAGGACATAGTATGGAAAGTAAATGTGGAACTAATTGGAAATAATTACTACAGTATTACTAGTTTTAATATACAGTTAGGTGAAGACTGCTAAAGAAGTCCAACAAAGTCACATTTGACTTCAAAAGAGGAAATTTCTCTAAAATGAGAGAACTGGTAAAGAATTTGAAAAGGTGAGTCAGGAGGGTTAAATCCCTTCAAAATATTTGGAGGTTACTCAAAACCACAATAACAGAGTCACACAGATAATATTCATACCACACGTTAGGAAAGGTAGCACAAAGTTCAAGAGAATACCAGCATGGTTAACAAGTAGAGTCAATGAAGGTGTTAAAGAGAAGTCTTCTTCAGGAAAGGGAAATCTTGCCCAAATCAGTAAAACAAAAAGGACCACAAGCTTGTGCACAAGAAAGTTGGAAGCAGCCAGTAAGTGAACCAAAAAAACATTTTAAGGAACATATTGCTAACATCACCAAGGCTAACAAGAAAGAAACAAGCTAGAGAGGCAGATGGACCTTTGGATAATAATGAAATTAATAAATGAATTGATTCTTTCCATCCTTTTTTGCAACTGAGAATGAAGAACAGAACGGGCGGTGGATGATCTAAAAAGGGATCTTGGGATGGATAACTTGCTGAGAATGTCAACCCACTGCGCAGCTGCTGTGAAAAAAGCAAACTCCATATTAGGCATCATTAGGAAAGCAATTGAAAATAAAAGTACCAAGGTCACATTCCTGTGGCTTAATTTGAATAAGCTACTGTTGCTTTTTAAATTTGGCTTTTAAATTTTATATTGTGCTTTTAATGCTGTTTCATTTTGTATTTTATTTGCTGTTTTGAACTACTCAGTAATAATAAGAAGTAGTATAGTTGTGGTCACTATACCTGAAAAAGGACAGTATTGAGTTGGAAAAGCATATAGAAGGGAAACTAAAGAGATTTGAGTGTTCTTCTATGAGGAATGGCTAAAATAGCTGGGGTTTCTCAGTTTAAAGTGCAGATGTGATAGAGTTGTTTGAAATTACACATGATATGGAGAAGGTGGAGAGTGAGACATTTTTCTCCCTACCCCGTACTACCAGAAACTGGGATCATCCCATAAAGCTGTTTGGTAGGAGGGTTTTGTTTTGTTTTTTTAAGAGAACTACCTGTGTACCATTTTTTAAAACCAGGCAAGAACAGGAGCTTGCACTTACTGAAGAAAGGGTAGATGAGGGAACACGGGGGAGTGGGGGCAGATGCATCAGTTTGCAAAGGCCAAATTTCAAGACTGTTTCTCTGTCTTGTGACTAGCTGGTAGAGCCTGCCATTGGGGGGCCAGGCAGCCGCTTCAAGGGGAAGCATTCCTTGGACAGTGATGAGGAGGAGGAGGATGAAGAAGATGAAGGGCAAGGAAGTAAATATGACATCCTTGCTTCAGATGATGTGGAAGGTAAGTCTGTGACCAGGACTGGGAGACAGGAGTGATTTCTTAATATTAGAACTCAACATCCTCAGAGCATTATCTTAAAATGTACATGTGTGTCCAGGGTTTTGCAAATTTGGCTTGGCCTTGGTTGTCAAACCAAACCTTTCAGTCATCAGAGCACGGTCTTTCTCTTCTGAACAAACCCGTTCACTTTTACCCAGAACTAAGTCTCCTTATGCTCACTGAGCATTACTCGTAGATAAGCGGAGTGTTGCAGGATTGCAGCCTTATTGCCTGACCTCGTGCTACACTTCTAGGGTCAGAGGTGGCAGGGGGAGGTCACAGACCGGCCTTTGCCCCCAGTTCTGAATGGCTTGTTGGGGCATGGTCAGCCGAGATGCTTAGGGTACCTTGCTGCTAAACTAGTCCATCCTCAGGCCTTCTGCACGTCACTGGTTCAAGGGGAAAACAGTTTTTCTGGTGCTGAGCCGCTGAGGCACTCCCAAGTGCTTCCCATCGCAGCCTTCTGAAGCGGAGTGAACTGATACACTGCATGCGCAGTATTGGAAGTGCTGTAGGTGGGCAGCACGTGGGCTGCATGCAGCCGCTGTGCTCCCTGCTGTCCATTAAAATTGCTTAATTTTTAAAAAGGTATTAGGAACAGCTATTGGGGAATAGGGTCAAAATTAGCTTAATCCAGGTACCACTAGAAAATTCATGCTTTTATTTTGGGGCTGGGGGAGAGTCAATTAGATAAAAAAGCCCCCCACCCCCCCCCCCCCCCCCCGCGCACGGCAAGAAAACAGCTTGTGTAAGAAGAGGCGAGGCATGGTTTTTTTTTTTTTTT